AATAAAAATTAAAAACAATTGTTCTTGACTATAAAATCTAGCAATAAATACATCTTATAATACTAGAGAGCTATTTTAATCGCTTGCTTAACATATTTTCATAAGGCAGTCAAATAAATGATTACAGAATACATAGCATTTCTTATCAACAAGTATAAAAATGTGTTATTTAAAATTAAAATTACAGTTCAAATAATTTAAAATTTCGAAAATCTATACTGCAAGTGTCTTTCTACTCTTTTTTGTATAATTATTTTACTGTATTCTAAAAAAATATTTCCTGCTATACGAACAGATCAAGAATTTGTAATTGTGAAGTACTTCTAAAGGCACGTATTCAATGGCAAATAATGTTTCAGAGACAATGTTTTTGAGAATTTTAGCGTCCACAACATTTAGTCTTGTGAACATGTTACTCGATCTTAACATACGATATCAAGCAGAAAGAAAGAAAATAGGAAAGAGAGACAAAATTTGTTGAGCATTTCTGCATGTCTGACGAATCATATAGAAATTTTGTAATTTTGCTTTTTTGTTATCTGCAATTATTACTCCAGTTATTTCCGATGTTGTAATGTCTTCCCACGCGATTGTATTTAAGTAGACTTTACTCGCGCTATGCCATAAAATACGAATAAGTTTGTTTTATTCATTGTTCAAATAAGTTTCTATTTTATAAATTAATATTTCGTTGTTTCACATAATAGCCATATTCGTAAACAAGTAAAACATGCGTCCGTGAACATTTGTTGCGAAAGTGAATAGTTTCGCTTGCCCCCATTGTCAGCGGAGAGTGATAACTATAAACACGCAGAATTTATTTCTGAAATAGTGTTTTTAAGCAATTGTTTCCCAGTGAACATGGTTTTATTCATAATTCACTAATGATTTCAAGGTTTCGTATGCACCCATTATATATTATATTCGCGAAATAGCTTCTAAATAATATTTAAATAACTTGTTGATAAAAAATACCATCTAAATATAGTCTTACAAAATATAAATACAGTCGAGTACAAGATTTTGGCACGAGAAAGCTCGGAGATGAGTTTCGCACGCGCTTCGTGTAACATAAAATACGCTAAAGCTCAAATGACTATACTTGTACGACTAAGAAAGTCTCGATCCTGCGCTGCGAGCGATACCGCTACTTGCCATCGGTGTCGCCCGGTTGTGTTGTGACTTGTTACCCTGAAATTAATCCAAAAGTTATTCAATAATTAAGTTTGCATGTATCAATCCGAGAATGTTGTGGCACTTGTGATTGATATGCATATCAAATTGTGTGAAAATGTGTGATGTCATATTATATCTGAATTGTAAGTTGTACCTGTAATATAAGTTAAAAACAAAAACAAAAACAACTTACTTTAACGTTACTAAATTATGAAAAAAAAATGTGAAACATACACTGAAGGCGTTAACGCGTTCAAGCGTTCCGCGTTCGCGTTCTGCGTTCGTTGTGTGGTATTACGTTACAAAGGCATACCTATACAGTAGGCATCAGCGTTGCCATATGTACGGATTTGTCCGTACACGTACGGAACTGTGTTAGTGTTACGTACGGAATTGTGTTCGGATGCGTAAAAGTTTTAAAATGTAATACACAAAATTCATAAAAACATCGATATATCGATGTTTTTTACACTCGACATTCCTAGAACTGTAAAAAATGAACATGGTTGTCTATGACGGGGAATTACCCAAATGACCGTTTTATTTTTCACCTAAGAGATTGACAAAGATGACATGTTACATGTTTGCGTTTATTGCAAACATGTAACATGAGATGAAAGAGATAAATATATTACGCTTTGTTTTGTTTATTATATTATAATGAATGAATGACGACAAACATAATTCTTGCTCAGTTGCACAATTAAAGTAATTAAACGCATTATTTGTTTTTTGAACCTTTGAAGTTGTGAAGTTCCATCTCAAACAAGATGGTTATCGCTGCGTGCTCGATTTCTCGACTGTTGGAGCAGTATGATGACTAATTTTATTCTTTACTGAAGCTACCTTTACGGAACAATTAAAGGCAGCAGATAACATATTACATATGTTACGAAGAAACCCGTACAATGAACTCTATCTAGTTTTTAGAGTTTTCCCTTGAGACATTTAATAATTTTTAAATAAAGTATTTCAATCTGAACGCCTCCAGATTCACAAACACCATGAAAATATTTGCCAATCATACAGAAATCTTTCGGACTGCTTTAACTTGCAAGATGTTGATTTCATCAATCCAAGAAATTTTAAGCCCATAGACGAAATTTGTAACAGTTTCATTAGCATCAAATACGAGTATAACTGCTAACGATATTAAAGCGTTTAAGCTGCGCACCCTGGAATTTTACATCGAAGGAGCAAAGCAAATTAAAAGTCGCTACAAATTTGTTGACCAAATTGTAATTAAACTAGAATTTCTAGACCCGGATGTCGTTAAATCGCGGACAATATCATCTCTAGTTGACACAGTTCTTTTGTTTCCAAATCTGTTAAATGTCGAAGACACAGAATGGAGAAACTTGAGAAATAACACGTCACTGCACTCAGTAGATTCGATAGCTTTGGAAGAATACTGGTAGAAAATCATAACAACCACCAATCCAGCGGATGAAAACTGAATTAATGTGTTTGCCTCATTCAAGCGCATTAGTAGAGCGAAGTTTCTCCGCTATTAATGTAATGAAAAACAAGCAACGAAATCAACTCTCAACAGAGACAATCGAAGGACTTTGATTTAAATGTTAACACTGACTAGATATGAGCGCCGCGCCGGCACGCCGTCGTCGCCGTGAGTTCTGAATGAATAAAGACATGTATAAATAACTTTTGCTTTTAATTTTACATTTGTTTTGTACTGATTTCGTACGGAGATTCGAATTTTATGCACGTACGGACTACGTACGGATTTTGCTGTCATGTGTTCAGATTTTTAGTCCGTACAGGTTGGCAACACTGGCAGGTATTCTGACCGTGTCGGTCAACCAGAACGCACGCGTTTGCGCGTTCACTGCTGTTTCAGTGTCCACATCGGTAGGAAGATGGAGACCGAGAAGTTGATTTTGTTAGTACGAGAAGAGTTTTTTAATATGATGTGAAGAATGATAATTATAAAAACCGAGGAAAAGTATCATAAGCATGGTTGGAAATTATCAGAGAAATAGAGACCGAAAATTAATTATAAATTTTTTTTCATCGGTAAGATATTTACAAAACAGTCTATGAAATTCCCCATCTTGTTCTCTATTATTATTTACTGGGCACACCTAATGTTTCCTTTTCAGTTTCGATGCTGCTAATGTCCACAATATCAATAATTCGTCTTCCGATGAAGAACTATATTTAAAAACATGGTGACTGTAGTGGCACCGCGCAGAAAGTCCAACAGCGGAATTCGTGAGCAACAGAACGCTCGAACGCAGAACGCGATCGCGGAACGCTTGAACGATTGACCGCTTCCTGTCTGATAGAATTCTTAGTCAATATAAATTTAGGCTGGCTGCAAATTTTTTTTAATTTATTTAAGACTTATTTGAAATTGAATATAAATTTAAAGGATGAGATATAAATACACCAGCACTGGAGGATTAGATCGGGTGAATATACAAATCAGTGAAATTTGTCTGAAAAAACAGATTCTAACCTACCAGAGCGGAGTAGAAGGATTTATAAGTTGTAACATATCCAAATAAGTTGAAAAATCCTGATGCCATTGCGTAACTACGCAAATTCATCAGGGTTTTTCATCCTTTAAAAACAATACCAACAGACCAACAAAGAAATATAGATCGAGCGCTTCGTACATATCAAGTGACGCCGAAATCATGCTCAATTTCTTGACGCGCACTTACACACAGAGCTTTATTCTTTCTTACTTTATCAACCCGTAAACTTTTACTACACATATGCACTTAAAACTATGTTGTTTGTTGCAAACTAATTTAGATGCATAATATGTGTACGTGAACGCGTGAGAACTTACATAAAGTAGATCTTATTAATAAGTTGAGCATGGTTATGGTTTAGATTTTACGTCACTAATGTACGCAGCACTCAGTTCTTCGTTCTTTGTAAGTCTGTGGTAAAGAACTACACCACATAATTTGAATTTTCTACTTTTAATACTGTATTAAAACTGAGTTGATTTTTATTTTGAGTACCTATTTACATTTACAAATATACAATATGTTATTTGCTTTTAAAACTTTGATGTCAATACACTATATTCTTATACAAATTCTATAAAAAAATCCTTTAAAAACTCTCCAAACAACTAAGTGAGACATTGGTGAAATTTTCTAAAGCACGGTCGCGGAGCAGGAATTTTTTTACTGCTTTGTATTTTTGAACTTAATTACCATCATAAAAAGTTTTATTTCTAATGCAACTAAGATAGTTTTAGGACCTTTTAAACAGTATTTATGATTCGAAAACAGAGTTTATTCCCAAGTTATTGAAGTTCACATTTGTATGAATTGTAATAACTTGTAATTCTTCCTGCTCCGCGATCACGCCATACTCAATCCACAGTTGGTTATTAATAATTAAAAATTAAAAATGTTGTACAACAGACTTCAATATAAATTATTAAAAATAGGTCAGACTTGGATCAAATTTATATGGGACCACATGTTAAGCACTAGCTTTCAAATAAAAAAAAGAATTATCGAAATCGGTTCACACAGAAAAAAGTTATGAGGTAACACGCATAAAAAACATACAGTCGAATTGAGTACCTTCTCCTTTTTGAAGTCGGAAGAAAATACAACCTGGCAGCAATGGTCTAAGTAATAAATGATATAATATATTATATACGAATCAAATATACATATAAGGATTCATGGAGAATCTTAAATGCTAATGTTAACAAAAAATAAACATTTAACGCCATCTATGGTGTGAACAATAAAAAGTTACCAAAGAGTCATGGCACTCATAAGTTAAATACAAAAAAAATAAGGCTTACCTGTGTTAAGAATCGGTTTATTCTATCTAATCATCTCTAGGTATTTGTGCTTGTGCTTGGTGAGCATTTCCGTAACGGTCACCAGTTTCTTGATAGCGGGCTGTGTCTTCGCCAACGTTTGCAACTCGCTTAGATGCGACACGCAAATGTGATGAAGGGTTGCCAACTCTTTTGCTGTACCCCATAAAATAAATTAACATTAATCATGTTAATTATGAAACATTAACGATGTTATGATATTTTGTAAAAATATAACTGAAAAATTCATGTGTTAAAAAATTTATTTATTAAGAATATGGAAAAGTCAAAGCCAACACTATTTATTACCACGTTTATATATTAACCCGTTTTCGCGTATGCATGTTCAGGTCGAATGTGGTAATTGATTTAAAACTACCTTCCCAATGAGCTAGAATTGAACATAGCTGAGAATCGGATGACTGTAAGAATATAAAAAAGAGGTAAATTAAATTATTTTATTATTAATTTTTAGAAAATTTAATGATTACTGGTAACAAGTGATTTTACATTAGTGCTCAAAGGCTACAACACATCTATATTTTGATTCTTAATCGTAGATAGAAGTAGATATCTATGAGCCACAGCATCCATTTTCTATCACGTGGATTGTGTGCTCGTTTGTCATCCTCAGGAGGTAGGCTTGGATGCTTTACTACGGGGCTATCGAAAACGCAGGGCAATTCAGACTATAAAACTGGTTGTGCTTGCCTTTTAATAAATCACTATTGTACGAAAAAAAAATAATTACCAATATCGAAATTGTTATTAGAGCTGGGCGGTACATTCCCTGGATCCGGAACAGAACTGAGCTGATCCAAAAACGCAATCATACGCTCTTTGTTCTTGAGGATGAATGGATTAACAACTTCCATGTAAGGTTCCTATTAAAAATAAATCAGTTTTTGTAAAATGTAATATACATTAAATAAAAAAGGTCGATTTTTTATAATATGTCAAAAATATTCCAGGTATGGTGGGTTTTTAAATGTTGAAGTCGATACCGCACCACTGAAGTTCGATAGACGCTGCGCCACATTCGGATAATAAGATGTTGGCAGTTAAGTAGGCATAATGTATCTTTCCCTCAATAGTAATTTTCGTTGCCACAATAATTGTGTTTTTCTTCTTTCTAATATTGGATTCATGTAAGGAGTGAATGCGTGAAACTACTTTCACAATATTAATTAAGACTTTCTACAAGATGGCAGGGCTGTCAAATTTAGTTGCCAGTTTTCGCCGCAGGATTTAAGTGATGGAGCGGGCTTTAAGTTTTAGATATAGAATGAAAAAAAGGAAAAACTGTACCTAAAGAAATAATATATTTGCAAATGATTGTGGACTGAATTGTGTCTAAAAGAATTACGAGCAAATCCGAAGTATAGTCTCGGTGTAAGGGTTTGTAATTTTATTTTAATTAGAAAAATTCTAATTTTGATTGGATTGAAGATAATGAGCTAAAGAATATTTTTTTAATCTGATGGTCTTGTGTCGAGAGCTCTAATAAATTAATAAAAAACCTTAGCGCCAAACTCGACGAGATTGGCGAGGTTCTGCAGGCACTTGGCGACCATGACGAGCGAGCGCTGCGAGTGCGGCGGCGGCGTGCAGCCCACCAGTCCCCACGCACGCGGCTCCACCAGTGCCGGGCAGATCAGCCGCAGGAATATGAACCCTAATACATGCCAATAACGTTCTATTTAGTATGTACTGTCAAGTGGCTTAGATCTTTAATTATATAGAAATATGCAAAAGTTTGTTTCATTCAATGCAAACACTTCTATGTATACTACTATACATGCTCTAGTCTTAGTACATTGCGCACTAAGATAACTTTATTCAACTGATTTCAAAAAAAGGAGGAGGTTCTCAATTCGATTGTATTTTTTTTTATTTGAAAGCTGGTGCTTCTCATGTCGTCCCATATTTTTTTTTTATAATTTTATCAAGATATGACCAGTAGTTTTTGAGTTATACTTAATAATGCGTATTTAATTGACTTCGACTAAATTGATGATGTTCTCAATTTATTTAAATTGAAGTCGGTAGTACAACATTTTACTACTTGTTTTGTAAACCACGAACGTTGTTTTCGACTGTGACTAAGAAAACGCTGTTATTATTGTAAATAAAATGCGCACTTTGTCAACGTCATTTTTAAGTTTATTTATGAGTATGTAATACGGAGCAAATACAAAGAGGAGGTGTTGTAATTAGATTTCACTATATAACAACGCGTGACAATTTGCAGGGTGAGGGGGTGTTAAGCTGTTAAGCCCTGCCCACTTAACTATTTTCCATCTGCCAATAAATAGTAAAACTACTCGCATCGTTCCATATCGTGTTGCAATATAGTTTAGCTACCTTGACGATAGATGGCGGCCTATTCACAATTATATTTTTAGTTCCCATGACATAAAGTGTCGTCATCTAGTTTCGAATATATTTAATTATATTTGCAAGCCGACGCAGACATTTTTCTAGCACTATTTTTATAAATTAGGTATAAAATTACTTACAAATACAATGTGATGCCATCCATACCATCAGAGCGTCTGTCTGAGTAGTTTTTACAAGATAAAACACAACACTCCGTCCTTTTCTTCTTAATACTACGAAAATACACCGATTTGTGATTTTCGACACATAAGCGCACAGGACGAACGCTGACAGTATACTAACTAAAACCACGCCCACTGTGATGACGTCAGGACCTAGTTAGAATTACAGTGCACAGTTGCTTAGGCCGTCTCCTCTTTGTATTTGCTTTGTGAAATGTAACTATTTCGTATTTGCCTAAAGAGAGTAACTGTCGTAAATGAAAATAAAACTACGTGGCGTATTTAACACGGAAAATATAGTTAATAAAGTAAGCCGCCCGCACGTGCGCGATCCACAACTGTGACTGAGTTTTTGTTCTGAATTGCCGGTCTAGTAGTACAGATAGAAGTCTTTGATTCAACGTGGGTCGGCTCGACCGGGGAAGGACCACGCTCTCACAGAATACCAGCTTAAAATAGCAGCTTAACACTGCTGTGTTTCGTATGATGAGTGTAGAGAACCGGAGACCATTTTTACTGGAAAAGAGGCATTCCATTGTAGTCCTCACGGCTGACAACGCATCTGCATTTTATTCGCAAACGAGGACAGATGTAAATGTCTATGGGCCACAGCAACCACTTACCATCGGGTGGAATGTGTGCTCGTTTGTCACCCTTATAAAATAAAAAATAAAAACATTTTACAAACAAAACCGTACCACTTGGATATATCAATATCTGCTTATTATTTAAATGTACAGGAGCACCAGGAGATCCGTTTGCAAAGCAGGTCTCGTCGTAAACAGTGCTAATGTGATGAACATTAGTACTGTTTTCGACGAGAACACGATAGTGCGCGCGTAATACTGTGTAGTTTCGGGGTAAGAATATCCATTACGCTGTGTTCTCCCGTGGGTGTCGTAAGAGGCGACAGAACGAAAACTAAACATGTTCTGTATTAAAAGATATTATTAGAGTCTGGACTTTTGATGGGCTGTAAAGAATGAATAAAGAGGTTAGTAACCGTACGCTTGGCAGGCAGGGTGGCAACCGCAGTTTTATTAATTTCAGTTGCTATCGGAAAGATGTTGCTGGCTACTGTGTAAGTTTCCCTCTGCTGGTCTTAAGATACCTACGGGGAGGACACGAGGTAGTGGATATTGAGGTTTTGATGTGGTAATCTGCGAGGCCAATGTTCAGCAGTGGATTTTTGATGGATTGTAATGGCTGATTAAAGTGGTGGATGATAGTGAACGTGGTAAAGCTTAAATGACTTTCATTATGTATTATTGCAATCTATCTCTATATATAACAATCAACTGTTGTCGATTTTGATGATTTTCTTTTGTGTTTGAGTTGGTCCCTGTAAGTTTTAGATACACAATTAGACCCGGTAGGTTGGCGCTCTTGTCGAAATCCAGAAATTACCCGTGCGAAGTCGGGGCGGATCGCTAGTATTGAATAAAAATGATTGTATTGTATTGGTGGGGAGACCTGATACGACTCTGGTGCGCACGAAGCGCTCGGCGGGCCACTTGGCGACGGCGGCGCGCTGCAGGCAGCCGCACACGTAGCGCACCGCCCGCGGACACGCCTCCGGCGTCAGGAAGATCGAGTGCGTTATCTGACACAAAACAATTACTTATCAAAAAAACAAATATTGTAATTATCTATTGGCCTGGCATGTGATGAAGAGTTACCGACCATACTTTGTCGGTATTTTTTGACAGCCAGTATTGCATCACGTTGCGTCACATTGCATCAGCATCTTTCTGCTCATCGTAATCGGCATTTTTAAGTAACAATATGAAAAGTCTGAATACTACAATTTTATAAGTACGCGATGCTACTATATTTTAATAAAAAGTGACTATGGCTTGAGGATGTTAGTAGTCTCAAATGAACAATACATTTCTAATCTCTTTTTTTGGCTATCTTCTATATTTTTTAATTAACAGGTATAACCTCGAAAACAGTATTCTGTTTATAAACCAATACATTCTTTTTCGCTTTCTACTATATTTTAGAGATAAAGTCTTGAAATACATATATTTGATATAAAGTGGGCAAACCTAGTTAGAACACGCAAAGGTCCTTTATGCAGATTATCTTTAATCTTTATCTGTTGTATAAAAGCCTTTTCTAACGTCAATTTAAAATTAAAAATTTTGTACAACCGAATTCAATATAAATTATTAAGAATAACTCAAAAACTATTGATCAGACCTTGATCAAATTTATATAGGACTACATGAGAAGCACCAGCTTTCAAATAAAAAAAAGAATCATCGAAATCGGTTCACCTAGAAAAAAAGTTATGAGGTAATTTTCGTATAAAATACACATAAAAAAGAACATACAATCGAATTGAGTACCTCCACCTCCAGAGCACAGAGCCGATACCATTACCAGTATATGTAAACTATTTAATTTCAGCATCTTTTATTTGATATTCTATAATTTTTCGGTTATTCCAAAAACGTAATTTAATTGATAAAAGCGGTTTATAGCTCGCCTCAGGCGTTTCTCTGTGTGATTAAATCTTTTAGGATATCTGCAGCAAGACAAGAGAATTATCAACCGATGGAAAGAAAGATTAAGTTGGGCGACTTAAAATAAACGTGCAAACGATCGATCGCATTATGACGATTACAATGCAGTGGACGATATGAATGATAAGCTCGTGGAAACGCCCATGCGGGCGAAGCTAAGTTCTGCAAGACCCATCGCAGAAGAACACAAAAACTCTCTGATCACACTCTGAATCTCATGGTTGCTAGATCTCAAAATGCTACATTAAAGTTGCATAAGTCCCGCCGCATAACTTACGCAACTTTAATACAGCTTACATTGAAGAAGCGATCGAGCGGAACCAGGACTCCAAAGTCTTTGCCCGAGATCTGTCTACCAGCAAAAGCAAACTGTCGAAGCTGATGATCGAATGTGGCAGCATCGTTTCCGAGACACGTGAGATTTTGAGTGAGATTGAGATCACATCATCGTTGGAGCTACACGACAATGTGAGTAATGATCTGAGAGCAAGTCTTATCCGGCACTATTCCGATGATATTCCGGACGTCAGTCTGAGCGAGATTAGAATGGCTCCCCAGCACTTTAAAAACGGCAAGTCCCCGGGTGACGATGAAATTACAGCAGAGCTTCTGAAAGCGGGTTTTGTTCCGTGGTAGAACCACGCTGCAGTTATATTAGTAGTATCGTTGTAGCACGAATGGGTCGGCTCGACCGGGGAAGGACCACGCTCTCACAGAATACCAGCGTCAAATAGCAGTTTAACACTGCTGTATTTCGTATGGTGAGTGTAGAGAACCGGAGACCCTTTTTACTGGAAAAGAGGTATTCCATCTTAGTCCTCACGGGTGACAACGCATCTGCGTTTTGATTCGCAAACGAAAATAAATGTAGATGTCTATGGGCCACAGCAACCACTTACCATCAGGTGGACTGTGTGCTCGTTTATCACTCGATCATATATTTTAAAAAAAAGCGGGTGGAAAACCGATACTTGATGTCCTTCAGAAGATCTTTATGTCAGTCCTCCATGGTGGCACTACACCTCAGGCGTGGAGCAGAAGTGCGGTGGTCTTGTTCTCCAAGGAAGGCGAAACACCCTCTTGAAGAACTACAGACCGATTTCCATTCTGAGCCGCGACTACGTGCTGTTTTCAAGAATCCTTATGAATAGTATCGGTCGTAGACTTGACGACTTCCAGCCTCCCGAACGTACCATTCGACAAATTGTACAGAAGACCGAGGAGTACTGCAGTAACTGCAGAGAGGTGTAAGACAGGGTGACGTTATATCCCCGAAACTCCTCAAGGATACTGTATTAACATCAATGGCGAGTACATCACTCACCTTCGTTTTGCCAACGATATAGTCCTTATGGCAGAATCACTGGAGGACCTAAGCACTAAGCTCAATGACCTCAATAGTGCTTCCCAATGGATAGAGGTCTTAAGATGAACATGGACAAAACAAAGATCACGTGTAATGTCCATGACACGCCTATGCGGGTAGTTTTTGGGAGCACTAAGCTCTAACAAGTATGTTTACCTAGAAAAAATAGTCCAACTAGGTAAGTCCAATTTCGACCGAGAGGTCAATCGACGGATTCAACTCGGCTGGGCAGCGTTCGGGAAATTACGACACATCTCCTCGTCGGGTATACCTCAAAACCTGAAAGCGAAAGTGTACAACTAGTGCGTGTAGCCAGTGATGACTTATGGTTCTGAGACGTGGTCCTTCACTGTTGGCCGTATGAAGAAGGTCAAGGTCGCTCAGCGAGCAATGGAGAGCTATATATTCTCTGCGTGATAAACTTAGAAATGAGGACATCCGCAGTGGAACCAGAGTAAGGGACATAACCCAGCGGATTAGCATAAGCTGAAGTGGCAATGGGCCGGCCATATAGCTCGAAGAACCTATAATAGATGGGGGAAAAAAATCTTGAGTGGCAGCCTCGTACCGGTAGGTGAAGTGTTGGGCGACCCCCCACTAGATGAAGTGACGACCTGGTAAGACATGCAGGAAGTCGATGGATGCAGGTGGCTCAGGACCGTGCTTTGTGGCATTCCTCGGGGGAGGCCTATGTTCAGCAATGGACTTGTGAAGGGCTGTAATGATGATGATGATTTGAAAAGCGTTATAGTGAATCCATTTGATAATTTATTTATTATACACCATATAAAACGATGCCTCCGATACATCAATTATTATATACTATTAATTAACTTCATAATAATAGTGCATGCTCGACCTAAAATTATCAAACTTAGGAAACCGAAACAAGGTAAGACTTGAAACAAAGGTATTATACATTTTGGTTATGTAACGAAGAAATTTGTTCTTATTTGAAACCAAAACGAACTTACTTGATCGAGAATCATTAGTAAAAATTCCGCATTATTACAGGCGTCTTCAGGAGAATCCATCTTTGTTGGATTTAATTCGGCCGATTGCTTTGAGTCAATTAACTTCTGCACCGTTTCTGCTATTGCTGCCTGTTGATATTAAAAATAATACGTTTATTTATTTTATTTAGTAACTGATTTACATGAATATTTTTAAAAGAAAACAAAAACAGTCGTCGGTGTGTATATAATAAAATTTCTGTAAATACCATAACACTTATAATTTAAAATTATAAATTTTATACAAACGACTTCATTAAGGATTAAGGATAACTCAAAAACTATTGGTTAGATCTTGATCAAATTTATATGGGACCACAAGAGAAGCACCAGCTTTCAAAGAAAAAAGAATCATCGAAATCGGTTCACGTAGAACGAAGTTATGAATTAACACACATAAAAATAAAAACATACACTCGAATTCAGTACCTCCTCCTTTTTGAAGTCGGTAGAAAATAGATTATATATGTATAATAAAATGAAATAAAGTGCTATGAATTGTGATATAAGTAAGCTTTCAGATAAGTGTCCATTTGAAATTCTTATTGACTGACTGCTGGCTTAAGCTGTCGTTACAATAGCCACAATATTTCAGAAACTGAAATTTGACGCTACTACACATTCATCTTTTCATTACAGACTATCAAAAATTTACTGCTGTAAATTTTTTTTAATATTTGCCATAGTTGCCAGGACAGGCGGGTTAACAATCGCAATTATTATTGAGTTGTTATTACTAGGCTGCTGCCTATATCTTGATTAATTTCCCTGTGTTGCCTTTTAGGACATTCAATGAACGATATGGTTAGTGGATTCTTTTAGACTGCGGATCTGTTGCTGATCTACACGGCGGTGAAAAATACTGGTAACATGTTCATACCTTAGATCTTAGAGATTATTAGTACATGGTAGAGCCACGCTGCAACTATATTATGGCTCTAATACGAATGTGTCGGCTCGGCAGGACCACACTTTCATAAAATACCAGCGTAAAATATCAGCTTAATGCTGCTGTGTTTCGCATGGTAAGTGTAGAGAACTAGAGACCCTTTTTACTGGAAACGAGGCATTCCATCCTAGTCCTGAAGGGTAACAAACAACGCATTTGAATTTAGATTCTTAATTATAAGAGGAGAAATGTAGATGTCTATGGGCCGTAGCTTAATCTAATCATCAGGTGAACTATGTGCTCGTTGGTCACCTTTAATCAATAAAAACAAAACAGAGTATTTGATATGTCTGGCCAAAGGATCTATAGTCAATGTTATAAACGAGTATTCGATTTGTTCTGCCTGGCCGAAAGGCTCGTAGCCAATGCTATGTCAAACAATAAAGAAAGCGGGGTATGCAGGGGAATGTGGGGTGTGGGGTGTGAGGTGTGTGCATGGGCGGGCGACCTGCAGGAAGGGCTTGCAGAGCGCGTGCATGAACTGGTCGATGACGGCGGTGGCGAGCGAGGCGGCGCGGAACAGCGCGCGGTGGTCGGGCTCGCGCGCCACCTCCGCGCCCGCCAGCTCGCGCGCCAGCTCCGCGCCGCGCCCGCACTCCGCGAACGTGTGCAGCACCGCTGCAACGCACCCACATCCACCTCAACCGACACGTCTCATAACGCAAACACGCTACACACGTACACACACACGCCACACACAAAGGCGCGCGCGCGAGCGCGCACACACACACATACAAACGCGCGCGCAGCGCGCTACACCGTCAAGGTGCAGCGCGTGTAAAATGTATCAACCAAATAAATAGTTGTTTCTTTCTTTCTTTTAGCAGCCAAAGAAGGAGAAGAAGATGTATATTACTAGCACAAGAATACAAAAACGAGCAGAACGAAAGCTTCATATTGCCGCCGTGCGCGAGAACACTAACTACACGCGCAGCTATGTGATGCGTGACTTATCACCGACATAGCGCGGGGGTCGTACACCGGCGTCAGCTAGGGTAAAAACCAGTTTGGGCCCGCTCAGTGAGCGAACAAAGTTAAGGTGTGCCACTGCGCTGCCAGTGCACACGACGACTCGGACGTTTAGTTTTGTTTTTAGAAATATATAATTATAAATTCTAATAGATACTTAGTTGTTTGAATTAAATATTTTGATATTAATGTTTTTCATTTCTAACAATAAAATGTTGGTACCTAATTAATTTTAAACGAACTGCTAATAACATAATTTATATAATCATATTTTTAATGTTCCATACCAAAATTGGAAAACGGAAAACTTATGGGATCACCTCAGGCACTGTATGTCCATCTGTCCATCCGTCCGTGCTCATTGCTGATTCTTGCCCGTTTTTTTTTGTTTTTGATAACCGAATGACAGCCCTATTAAAGTAGGTAAGAATTTTCAACTCTCTTAGGAAGTTTTCATTCTGCTCGGTTTTATATTCTTGTGCTACTAGACCGGCTATTCAGAAGAATAACTGTGTCACAGCTGTGGATCGCACGTATAACGCACGTAGATACATTTAAATGACAGCTGTACTTTCATTTGCGACAGTTACTGTTTTTATACAAATATGAAATAAGGTTACAAACTTATAAATCACGTTGACAAAGTGCGCACATAAATAATGACAGCATTTTCCTAGTCACAAAATCTGTGTTAGATTGTCGAAAACGTTTGTGATTTACAAAAGAAAAAAATAGTTTTCCCGCCCGCTCGCAGGCGACTAAAGGAGTTACGGATAATTGACCGTAACTTAATGCTCAAAGCATTAAAGCTACAGAACCCGTCTAGTAGTATATATATAAGATACTTTGGCTGCAGTTATTTTAGCTTAAGGCGAGGATTATCGATTTATCGACGTTATAAGGCTTTTAGCATTCCATTCTCCACTGAATGTTGCGTCGTATAGTACAAAATTCATTTATTATACGACGCTTTTCAAGCGTAGTATAGTAAAAGTTTTAGGATTCAATAATACCTAGAGATCATATGATTAACAATTTTATATTATAATATATGTAATACTCGAAATACGCGCAATACTCGAAAATAGTCCTAACATAGGAATAATACAAAATTATTAAGGCAAAGATTTTCGCCCTTCTTCGCTGCATGTACACTTGACCAGCACAAGATAAGCTTGCGACATTCGGTAGACAAAAGTTAATTTTTTTGATCAGGAAATAAAGGATTTAAAAAAAAATGTAGCCGATAAAGAAATGAATTCAATAACATGGCTTCCATATTATGAACTGGAACGTCAGACTTTTTTCCCGACAGATAAATTATAATTTTTTTATCTCGATTAATACAAAATATTTAAAAAATCCATTCGATTAAGAATTTAATCGAGTATTTCACGTACAGTTCCACACGAATAAAGAATGGGATTAGAAATGGCAGCTCACCGAGCTCGTACCGTTAACATACAAAGTACCAAGCATAAAATGTTCACTTAACAGAATAATAGTATAGATAAAATAGTTAGATTATTCTGTTAAGTGAAAATTTTCTATGAATGGGAAAACATTTGAAAAGAATTGTATACGCGAGTAGGTACATTAATTTAAAAATCATATTTATAACTAGCGACTCGCTCTGGCTTCGCCCGAGTGGAATCTATTAATGTGGCGTTATTTAGACTTGAGATAATCACTAAGAACCATTTATTTTATTTTATCAATATTTCTATTTTAATATAGTATCTGAATTTTTAGGATAAAATTTAATCTAGATCACTCCTTGTGTTACTCTCTATTTGTTTGTGAAGTTTTATTACAATCGGTTTAGCCATTCTGAAGATTAACACACACAAATAAAAAAAAATTTAATTCATTTAAAAATTTTACACAAAAATATTAACAAACAAAAATATTAACAATAATCATGAAGAAACTCTCAAAACGCGTTGCAGCTCACAAATTGGCGAAACCGGGCTGAATTTGATTTTGTAGTGTATGACATTTTGTTATCATTGATTCCAATGACAAGTTGGACTAAAGTTATAGAGCGTACGAAAAACGAATATCGCAACGTATTTTTATTTTTAATTTTTGCAGTCTTTACCGCCGGGTGTGAGTACAGATAGCGACAGTGTGCGAGCGAGAGGTGAATAGAGGCGACGCCATTTTCAATCCCATTCTTTAACCGCACGGGTAGTATGCGTATATTATTTTCAGGCATATACAATATTTTTGTCTAACTTGGTCTTGACAAAGTGTATGTAGAAGAAGCAGTAAAAAATCTAAACAGTTCTACACATATATTATCATTCATTCATTACCGTCAATCAAATCCACTGCTGAACATAGGCTTCGCCATAGAATGCACATAAGGGTGATATTTGCTATAGTTGCCCTGATTGGCAGGCAGGTTGGCAACCACAGTTTATTACATAATGTGTCTAAATATGTAATGTATCTATATTTATCTTTAAACAAAGACCTTATGTCAGTAAATCTTTTATCTTTATGACTTTGTTGGCTTATTTAAAACGTTATACTTACAAGTCGCCAAAGGTTGCCTGTCGGTACGGCAAAGTTCGGCTAATGCTTTCACTGCTGGAATTCCCGGCTCGAGTAACAGCTGACGGAGAGGGTTGTACTCCTCGCGAGGCATAACTAACTCTTGCATGTATCTGTGGGGAAAAAAGATGTCTTTAAAAAAATATTGCAATAGAACATCATATATTCCACTATCATCAAGCGCAATGTGAAATTTAATAACGACAATTCAGGGAAATCTGGTGAAACGCCAGAGCGAAATCAATGGATGAAAGTGACAGGGCTATACCCAGTTGCATTCAGTATAAGATTTACATTGAAAAGTGAACTTGCGAATAAAAAATGGTGATGATGATCATGATCATGAGAAAATACAGGTAACATAGTGTGCATAATAGCTAAATTTCAGTTATAACTAGGATTTTACAGCCGAAATAATACAAAATGTTACCTTATGCGCAATCTTAAAGAACCCCATTCGCCAATAGGTGTCATGCCAGCTAGAGGATACCATTCTTCGACTTCTTCTCCGTTTGCAAGAGTGGATAACTCAATTGTTAATTCTGCTACCTGAAAATATAAAACTTTAAAATACAACAATAAAGTTACAGTAAAAAAACTTATAGTAAAAATAAAATAATGCTCACCTCTGATTCTTTGCCTCTTTTACCCGTATTATGTACTGTGATAGTAAATGAAGTGACATCTGGGGGTACATCACTGGAATACGAAATTATGATATTTAGAACAGAAAACAAACATTATTAAATATTTTAAAAGCAATAAAAATTTTAAGAGCGCTCATTTAAGTGTACATTTTCATTTACTCGATTTTCTATAATTTATTTACCACTTCACTGACATCTAATTAAAGAGAGAGAGAGAGAGAGAGAGAGAGAGAGAGAGAGAGAGAGAAAAGACAATTATGTCATTTTTTAATCTTTGTTTTCTTTTATATGATTATAAATTATAGGTATATAGTAAGCAGTAAAAATAGATGATCACAATCAGAACATCAACACGAGTGACAAGATTCCATGACAGATATTAATCATTAATATGAACTTCCTCATGGCTGGAGAAACCTATGTTCAGCAGTTACTTAAACTAATATTTTTTGAAAGACAATTTTGGTTTTAAACTCACATCACAATGCCAATGTTTGAGTATAGACCATAATAACATGTTACATAAATTTTGACATAGTGTAATTTGAGTTTGATACGAGATTGCTTTTGAATATGCTGCTAAAGTACAACAAGATAATGATGATACTAAACTAACTTTAATATACCACTATAGTTGATAAATCTATTGTACTGACTTTGTAATAATCTTTAGTTTGTGCTAATGCAAATGCCATGAATAATTATGATTTCAAACTAGTTGTCCAATTTACTCATTTGATACAAAACTCATTATCCCATATATTGCGGATCGGCGTGAACTTGCTTCAACATGAGCTGGTTGTCTATTATTACACACCTACTTAAGTCGTTATCGCAGTGCGAATTAGTGCGACCTCGCTCCAATACGTGCTAGTTGTCTAACAACAATATTGTATGAACTCGAACAAGAACTTGTCGTGTCCGGTGCGTATGCGTATGGGTGCGGACTTGCTGTAATATGAACCAGTTGTCCATTGCGCGCACTCGAACACGAACTCGTTCGAATAGCGTCTGTTGCGATCTCGGCGTGAGACGAGCTAGTAGTGTGTATAGTGTATAGTGTATGTGTATGTGTGGTGCTCACTCGAAGACGAACTCGTCGTCCCAGTGCGGGTCGGGCGAGGGCTTGGCGCGCGTGCGGGCGACGGGCGCGGCGCCGAGCGCGAGGCGCAGGTGCGGGCGCGGCGCCAGGCGCGGCGGCAGCCGGTGCGCCGTCACGCAGCGTACGCGCAGCGCTCGCAGCCACACCACGCGCGCCACCTACAACCATCATCCCTCTGTCATTAAAAATACAATTTACTGACGAGTTTTGGCGGGAACTTGACCGGCGGCGGATGGTTCCTCCTGTATTATTGTTTAAATAATGGTTTGAAGTGGATTTTGATATGTAAAAGTGGTGCGATTTTGTGTATTAAGTGTCTGCGCGTGTGAACTATTAGTGGAAACGGTGAAACAAGTGCTCTGATGGTAATGTGATTCTCAAGATAAGGCGTCTGTCTGCTTAGGCGCCTTGAGACACCATCGCCAACTGTCAGCTGTCTGCTGGCTAAAGTTGCCGTTAAAATCTCGCAAGGGCTGCACAATGTGACGCATCAACATATTGTGAAGCAGCGTACTATGAATAACAATTATACATTGTAACTTCAGGCTCAGAAGGGCTAGAACCCAGAGCCGTAGTCTGTTATAAAAAAAACGAATTTACTGATTTTTAATTACTTTAACTTTAATTATGTGATAGAGTTTCTTTTACAAATACGCAAACGCTACTCAATTTTAAGATGTAGTTTAGTCTCGTGATGTCGCAGTCACTTTAACTGAGTGTGATAGAGACATTACGAGATTTAACGGTATCTTGAAAATGAGTAGCGGTTGAGTATTTGAGCATAAAAAGTCGTTAGTTAAATGTACATATTTCAAACACAACAAGTGGCATTGGTAACATAGGGAGGCCTATGTTCAGGAGTAAACTTTAGTGGAAATATCTATGGGCCGCAGAAGCCGCTTATTAAACTGTGGACAGTTAACTCATTTTCCACTGTAATAAAAATATACCACCTATTTTAAAAAATTAATAAAAATATGTCAAGGAGTTATCTTATGAATTTCCGCAAAGTAACGCCTAATCCCATCAATCAAAATTAAAAAATCTCAATTTTATCATACCTAAATCATTATTTGTGACATTATTATCATCATCAGCCCTTGGCAAGCCTGCCATAGTCTGCCACAAAGCAAGTTCACTGCTGTGTGGTAGTCACAGATTTCATTAAATCTTTACTCCTTGTGGGCAGTTGCCCAACACAGATAATAATTATTTAATTAAACAAAGAATTATATTAATGATTTTTAAAAAATGCAAAAAACTTAAGTACCTTACACTGGTGCCGAGCCTGTTGCGGTACACAGAGGGGACGCAACGCTTCTAGCCAGGCGCGCTCGTCGGCTGCGGAGCTCGCCGCTAGAAAAGTGTGCGTCGACAGACATGGCAACGCTCTCTCCACTAGTTGGAAACAAAATTCTCGCTCCCATAGGGATTCATGCACCTGAAATAATTATTACATGCATAAGAAAGAACATAAACCCAAACTCGTAGGATTTGACGTAATTAGAAAGACATCATAACTATCATCGAGTTTTGTTATAGATATAATTTAAAATTAAAAAATTTATACAATCGACTTCAATAAAAATTATTAAGAATAACTCAGAAAAGGTCAGACCTTGATCAAATTTATATGAGACTACATAAGAAGCACCAGCTTTCAAATAAAAAAACAATCATCGAGATCGAGAGAGGTTCGTCCAGAAAAAAAGTTATGAGGTAACACACATAAAAAAAGAACATACAGTCGAATTGAGTACAGTCTCCTTTTTGAAGTCGGTAGAAAAGAGATAAGTCATGGTAGCTCAGCAAGGCGCCCGCCTTAAATTACATGGTACGAGTATATGAACAAACCCAAGTTCTATCTCACCGGTACAACTAAATTAATTAATAAAATTGTTAAATCATAATTTACCTAGTGATAAGATGACAAACGTTGCATTAGAAAAGCATTGCATAGAATGGCGGCGTTACATTATAGCTATGAATATTTCAGAAAAGAGGACGTGTATGTAGATTATTATTTAAGTATTATTTATGAGATAAAATCACACCGCCATATTTTAGATGCTTTTATATTTTATAAGAGTATCCTTATTCTATCTTTTCGTTCATAGAGCTTAAAATAAGCCAAAACTAGATTAAATAATTTTGACTTCGACATCATAATGAGTCTTAAAATAAACAAACAGGGCAGCCTGTTTTGTATAAACAAATAGAAACAAATAAAATTTAAGTTACGCCACACTACTGTTTCACGGCGTGAAACAGTAGTGTGGCGTAACTTAAATAGTCAGACATTAAAAAAAATCTGTAGTCTTAAAACTAATAAGACTACAGACATGACACTTAGATCAAATTCAAATATTACCTATTAAACAAAGTTATTCTCTTTTTATTTATAACATTTTCTTTTCTTTTTACAATATTTTTATAGTCCAATTTAATCAACCACTTATTTACTGTTTTGCAATTCCATTGTAACTCATCTATTAGACACTTACCTATGAAATGATTTGCTAATACTGGCGAGCATATTACTTTGAAGTTTGTTATTTTGTGATTTACTTAGAATTCCAAATTATTTTTTTAATCGATTGTTAATTTGTTTTCCCTCTGTTTGTTTTCATTATTATCGCTGTGTATGCCACTATAAAGAGGTTTGAAATTCGCGCCATTTTCTAAACTCTCCGTCATAGCGCCAATAATGCATAGTCGCCACACAATATCAACGACATGTTTGTAACGAGTGCCACAAACAAACGTAACGTTTTTGATGTTCAAAAATATGTTTTATCTAACATGCAATATTAAATTTAAAAAAAATCAACATACCTGGTACAAATAAGCACAAGAAAGATCGATCAACCCTTTCGGTTTCGTTCTCTTTGGGGAATCGTAGAAATACAAATGTGTATCGGTGCCTTCTTGGAGCAAAACAAAGTATAAAGCCTTCCATTTCTTGGTTGCTTTGTCAGATTTTTTGTTCAGATATCCTTGATGCTTTATTCCTTTCATTTTCTTTAGGCCTATTTGGTCTCTGCACTCCCTCAAAGTAGCGTATATTTTCTCAGCCGCCGCTCCAGTTGTGTTCTGCTGCGGTTCTATTTGATGGCCTTCTGCTATTAACTATTTAAACAAAAGGCTACATTACAACACATTATATTTTTCCGATTGTCAACAACAGCACAAACTAAAACCAATTCCTGATATCTAATGAGGATATTGTAACAATTTCTTATCAGCCTTTACTTCAGCACTTGTGATTGTATATGTAATTCGAGATAAGTGCACTTAATGTAACATAACTAAAATGTTATATATGTTTGGATCATAAACTCTTAATGCCTAATAAACCTTTAATGATTATTTTTCATAATCTAAAATCTAAACTATAAAACCAGTAACTAGGTACGAATAAGAATTTATGGTAGAATACTTCTTCAGTTATTCGTCATCATTACAACCCTTCACAAGTCCGCTGCTGAACATAGGCCTCCTCCAAAGAATGCCACAAAACACGGTCCTGAGCCACCTGCATCCATCGGCTTCCTGCATGTCTTACCAGGTCGTCGCTCCATCTAATGGGGGGACGCCCTACACTTCGCCTGCAGGTACGACGCTGCCACTAGAGAACCTTTATTCCCTATCGGTTGTCGGCTTGTCGGTTCTTCGAGCTATATGGCCGGCCCATTATAACTATATTACTATAACTATATTATAACTTTTGTGATAGGTGTAGATGAACATAATATTACGGAAAGTGAAGATTCAATTTCCCTAAAATACTAATATGAAACACAATAAAAACATATAATACGAAGTTTTAAATCTTCTATTAGATATTATACAAAAATAATAAATGTTGATATAACGTTTCTTTGATACTACTTACCGGCTGTCCTAATGTATGTCCTTCAACAATTTGCTCCTTTCTATATCGATTAATCACTGCGTCCAAGCATTCGAACACTCTTCCCCCCATTAGATATCTCACCCCCTTCTTCTCTATCCTGAACCTCTGTATTTGATTGTTGATGTGGAAGAACAAAGAGTAATCTCCGGGTGAATTGTCAGAGGGTCGCACTAGAAAGCTTCCCGGACCCGCTTTCACTAGCATATCTACCGCCTCGCTTTTCGTGCAGTTTGGATGGAACCACGAGAAGACTGTGTTAGGGTCGATAGAGGGATCCAAGTCCTCAACCAACTCCCTGAAGATCATACCTTGCTCCCCCGTTCTGTGTGGAAAAAGAAGCATATTGGGGAACATTGGAACTTTTTCCAAAATGTTTACATTCGTAAGTAACATTTAATGAAATATATAAAGATTTATTATCCATTTATTTCAAAGCTAGTATACAGACAAACAATGACTAGATAAAATAAAAAAGAACACCTTTGTACGGCGGTGCCGGTATATTTATAAGTATAACTTCGAATAAAAAAAATAAAATAATTAGTGTCAAACATGGTTCAGTAGAGTAAGAGAGAGAAAGAGAGAATAGTTTCGATGCCGAGAGTAGATGGTTCAAGAACAAAAATTGTTCCTACTAAGAAGTGTTAGTAGTATTCTTTTTTTTTTTAACATAGAGCCGAGATATTGCTCAATGAAAATACCTATAAAATGCGTTTAGACACTTCGCTGTTTTGTTTACAATATAATATGCAATGTATTGAAAACAAAACTATTTATTATATTCAATTTTTAAATTTCAATATCCGTTTAGTATTTAAATATAATTATGCCTTCATTTTCTCTAAGGGTTTATTAAAAATTTTTAGTTTCATAGTTGACCGTTGTAATCTAAGAATTTCGTTAGTCAGTTTTGATTTAAAAAAATTCGTTAAAAAATTATTGATAAAGGAAATATGTACATTTTATTTGTTGTTGTTGTTCTTACCTAATCAAATTTTAATAAAGCCCACAATCAAATTGGCCTGCATTTTTTAAAATAGGTGTCTTGTACTGCTTCAAATCGATGTTATCTTATCAATTTTACATCAGAATTTGAAACAAATAAAGATAAAGAGAACATAAATGTGAGGACAATCACAATGTATTAAAAAATCTGAAGTAGAAGACATTTTTTTCTACACTTCTACACAATAGGTTAAGCAGATAACCTGACATTAAATATTGGTGTCGGGAAAGACAGCAAGCATGGTGTGCGACCTGACCTGACCTGACAGCTCTCCGTATAGTGGAAAGATGGTGCAAGGAATATGAAAAAACTCCAACTATCCTCTGAGGTAAAATATTTATGTATTAAATTGGACAGTAAACTCAACTGGAATAAACACATAAAGAACAAGATCAACAAGGCTAGCATAACTTTCTGGCAACGCAGAAACATGATTGGCAAACGATGGGGTCTGGCGCCAAAAAAACCTGCAGCTAACATCAAACAAAGAAATAGTCTACAGATGCGTTGTCACCTCTGAGTACTAAGATGGCATGGGTCACAGTTTGAACTTATGCTGGCTGTATTTACCCTTTAGAACGCAATACAGCAGTGCAAGCACTGTTATTTTGTATTATGGAGGCAGATATAGGAATAAGCGGGTGTTATATACCCAGACGGACACAAAAGCATTCCTACCATCTAGTGAATGGGAAAAATAAGAGGTTTATAACGAGAGCAGACCGAATTGTAAGTGCATCCGAAACTGCAACGAGAAGTTTATGTGGTAGAGCCATGTTGCAGCTATATTAGTAGTATAGTTGTAGCACGAATGGCTCGGCTCGACCGGGGAAGGACCACGCCCTCACAGAATACCAGCGTAAAATTGCAGCTTAACACTGCTGTGCTTTGTATGGTGAGTGTAGAGAACCGGAGACCCATTTTACTGAAAAAGAGGTATTCCATCCTAGTCCTCACGGGTGACAACGCATCTGCATTTTGATTCGCAAATGAGGGTAGATGTAGATGACTATGGGCCGCAGCAACCACTTACCATCAGGTGGACTGTGTGCTCGTTTGTCACCGTATCCTATAAAAAAAAGTTATTGGATGTGTTTCATCAATCAATGCGCTACGCTATTGGCACTATTGGTATTTCAGTACAAAATCATTAAATTAAAAGTATATTTGCACGAAAAAAATATCAAACCACAACAAATGATCTGAACGCATTATCAAACGACAACGGTTTGATAATTCTTCTTATCCTGAGATATAAAGGCACGAGTGACACGATATAACTAAGAATTACGAGTACACATAAAATTGAGGAACGTGTGGTCAAGCGCTAGGCATAAGATGACTTAAAAACAATCCTAATACATAAACATCCATAATTCATCAAAATATTTCATATATGAAATTTTAACGGATTAAATAAAAATAAGATTATTCGTAGTTGTTATAGTAATAACAATTTGATCCACAGTTCATGATAGAGTAGGCAGGTGCGTCGAGTGTCGGAACGCACGGTTGCATGAATGATTTATTAAATCCGTAAAAAAAAAACAATGCACGCATTGTTGATAAAATAAAAAAAATATTAGTACCTAATTCAACTAAGCGCAAACAGCTTTAATTGGCTGTACCTCTTTCGCTTACGTAGTAATTAGTCATTAAGTGCAATTGCAGGAAGAAATAAAAAAGAAGTCAAGGCGATTTCGCTTGGCGAATTTGATTTCATCGAGCCGACTGGAAAGCAGATTAAATTTGTAGTTTTACTTTTATTTGCTGTTAAAAATTTAAAAAGCTGTCCTTTTTTAACAACCTTTATTATAATAATAATGTGTTGCAGACGGAATTTCGGTTACGTCGGCCAGTCTCCACGGAGACTAGCCATCTACAAAGGACAGGATTATAGTGGACGAGTGTAGGCGCAAGCACAGGTATCATAGACCGATGGGACGTGCTTTCTAGGCACGGAAGTGAAACATAACTTATTTTCAAACTTCGAACCGGTAATGAGAATTTCTTGATAGAAAAACCCAATAACTGACTTTTCCGATTCGGGATTCAAACCCGGAACCACATGATCAACAGACGCGTTTACGAACATTAGAATAAAGAAACATATATACTATGGCGTAGTTGGCGTGCTTGCTGTTTTCATTATTTTAAATTGTTATCAGGAAGAAGCTGCTGCCCATCTCCTGTTTAAATTCCCTCAGTCGCCTCTTACGACACACACGGAATGATATGGGATAGTGGATTCTAAAACTATTTGTTTTCCATCTTGTGTCTATTAGTGATATAACTGAAATTTAGTTTAAAAACAAGAAAAATTTATATCTTACCGATGCGCTGTAACCCACAGCCAGCCATCGCCCATATCGTTGTGCACAAAAAATATGTCGCCTTTTTGAAACGTCAATTCATCGGTGTCCGGCATCTTCGTGTATGGTAATATTGCTACCACTCGCTAACGTAGAAAAATAAAAAATAATTCAGAAATGGTCGACTAATTTGTAAGCTTTTACACAAATAATCAATTATATAATAAAGGTGTATCGAGATTTTTTTAAATGATTTATATTCTTACAACCAGACTACGTGTAAATTTTAGTGGATTGAAAAATTATTTATATGAAAAAAGTATTATTATTAATATCTAGAACTTTAACCCATTTCGTTGTCGCTAGTCAATGAAAATATCGTAGAAAAATGTCACAACTAACATAATGGAGGAATAATTATCCCAATAGTTGCCAGAAGCCATAGTTTCAAAAGTATTTTTACAATATGCAAGGAATATTATGTTACTGCAACCAACATTTCCATCACCAAGTGCTATGATTACAGCAACTCTTAGCCTTGACTGTGACCTATTTTTAGCAGTGGACTTTTTAGATGATAACAAATGTAAAAACTACCTAAGTTATAAATCTGGAAACTGGGAATATATTATATACCTAGGTACCTAACTACTACCCGTGCCTTTAAAGAATGGGATTAAAACTGGCGTCGCCTACATTTAACTCTCGCTCGCACACTGTCGATATCTATACTCACACCTGCCGGTAAACACTGCAAAAAATACGTTGCGATATGCGTCTTTCGTACGTTTTATAACTTCAGTCTTAAACTTGCCATGGGAATCAATGATAACAAATGCCATAAACTACAAAAAATTCAGACTGGTTTCGCTAATTTGTGAGCTACGACGCGTTCTGAGTATTTTCTTATAATTATTGTTAATTTTGTATGCTAATATTTTTGTACATAATGCTATTGAGACATGAGTAACAATTTGTAAAATTTTCGTTTGTCTGTCTGTCCAGTTGTGATGGAATGGCTGAACCTTCAAGAAAAGAGCTTACACCGTTCTCAAAGGCCGGCAACGCATCTGCATTTCCCCTGATGTTGCGGTTGTTCATGGGCGGCGGTAGTCACTTACTATCAGGTGAGCCGCATACTCGTTTGCCCCCTCTTCTATAAAAAAAAACCGATTGTAATAAAACTTCACGGACAAATAGAGAATAATACCAGGAATAATCTAGACTAAATATTATCCAAGAAATTTAGAGACTTTATTGAAATATAAATAAAAATAAAATAAATGATTTTTAATGATTATCTTAAGTTTAAATAACGCCACATTAATAGATCCCATACAGACAAAACCAGAGCGGGTCACTAGTTATAAATTGTATTTTAAAATAAATGTACCTATTTCCGTATAGAATTATTTTCAAAATTAATTTCCTCTGAATAGAAAATTTCCAATTAAGCGAATAATATAACGTTATAACGATATAACGTTATTAGCGGGTTTTCGCTATGAGGTACTGTGCATGCTGACGATACTGACTCGATGAGACGCCATTTCTAACCCCATTCTTTATCCGAACGGGCTCTAATTGTTTTACTAATATTATAAACGCGAAAGAATGTTTGCTTGGATATTTGTCATTTGGTCAGCCGTGAAGGCCTGTACAGATTCTAACGAAATTTAGCATAGAAGTGGTACATATTAACTTTTAAAAAGCTGTGAAGTTTCTTATATATATATACACAACTAGCGATCCGCCCCGGCTTCGCACGTGTGATTTCTTAATCTCGTGAACAGAGCCACCTATCGGGCCCAATTGTGAATTTAAAACACCCACTTAAAGGCACACAAAATTTCAGTAAAATCAATCGAGCCGTTTCAGAGTTTTAGCGAGACTAACGTACAGCAATTGATTTTTACATATAGAGATATACACACAATATATTATTACACAATATACAAACATACAATATGACAACATGGTACATTTACCTTTTTATCGTTTACAGGTTCAGGGGGAGGAACAGGCTCTACCAATCGTTCACGTTTCAACAAATCGGAACAGTGACTGTAGAAGCCCACCAACTCAGTCAACGAATCGAATTGGCGGCCACCAATGTAGTAGTCACCACACACCGCTGTTATTCTGTTATGAATCAAAATCAAAAAAATATTTATAATGAATTTTGTAGAAATTTTCAGATTCTATTCTTTCATATTATTTTTGAAACAACATTTCACATACATTTACACAGCATTAAGTACTGATACAAATAGCATATTGCAATAGCACATTTATGATGAGCCGAGGTTCCCTTGAGAATAAAAATGAACCTTTGATTAAAAAATGATTTTATTAATTTTTATTAAGTGTATACTTAACAAACAAAAATAATGATATTAAGAAATAAGTACCTGAAATGATTGATTCCAGTGCGTCCTAAGTAACTCAAAACATACGACCCTGGTTTCCTGTCACTCTCACGCACTGAAAATAAAGCATCATGTTGTTGAACATTAAGAGATAAAAATAAGACGATACCAATAAACTTAAATATAAATGTATGAATTCTTTCTTTCGTCTTTTTATAATGTGCATTACATCCTAACGTAAAAGAAGATTGACTGTGGGAGAAAAATTATTACATTCTTTTACACTTCTAATATAATATTGCAAATGTATAATGCCTACACTGACAAAATATTGTGAAAACGCGGAGATGCAACGTTTCTTCGCGAGGCCAGTGGATCAAGCTGATAGGAAAGAACTTTGTGATCGACGATTCGGGCCGTACCGTCCGATAAAAGCGGTTAAGAGGACGAAGCCGTGCTAGATGGCTCGACACATAAATGAAAGCAGTATACCATGTGAGGCCAAACCTGCGCCTTAAACAAATACAGTTTCGCTATACTAAGCACACCAAGCTTTTTAGACGTCAATTCAAACTTCCCTTCCAAGTGACTGCGGAATTGTATCCCGGCTGAGACAACATGGGAACTGCCTTCAGAAAAGGAAGATTCGACCAAAGTGTAAACGCACGAATCTGTTTTTTTTTTTCTAAAGATTAATCTGGACTGGGTTTAGGTTCCCTAAAAGCTAGATTTTGCTAAACATAAATTCGACTATACACAAGTTTGTTACGACGATGTGTTCCCGAGATATATTAGGTCGCTGTATTAAGCATCAACAGCAATGTTGACTGCAAGTGAATGTTACTAGTTTGCAACAATGATATGCAGAAAAAAATAGGAACAAAAACCTAAAAAGGTTGATCTATACACCATGCCTCATCGATTGCACATGGTCCTTAACCTAAGTACAAACCTTGTCTATTACATATTACGGTAGATATAATATGCTTTAAAATCGTAGCGAACACGGTCGCAATGGGTACATTCACGAAATGTGTCATTTGTATAGACACCCACCCACATACACATATACATACACTTCTACACACACACATACGCACGCACAAGCACACGCACGCACACGCACGCACGCACACGCGCAACCCTAAATTACACGCGGGCGAAGTCGCGGGGAACAGCTAGTAATAAATATATTTGAATACCAAATTTTTATCAACTGGTGAGGCTCATTATTAAGTCTTTAGGCATCTATCACAAATATAATCTTTACGAGTACTGTCTAAAAGTAATATACTAGCTCTCATCATCTCATAGGTTTCCACAAAGCATGGTATCAGGCACCTACATCAATCAACTCACTGCAAGTTTCATCAGGTAGTCAATTCAAGGGGTCCACCAACACTGTGTTTGTAGTAAGAGTCTCCCAATGGAGCATCTTTCTTCCTAATCGGCTGTAGGTTCTTCAAGCTACTTTTTTTATATTCTACTAAGCCAGCGCTTATCTATGATCCCACCTGATGGTAAGTGGTGATGCAGCCTAAAATGGTGAAGCGCACTGACTTAACAAAAGCCTATTCACTCTTGCCTTGAAGACCCCCACATTGTAATCGGATGGAAAGACAGATGCTGGCAACTTATTCCACTCCTTTGCTGTACGCATGATGAACGACGTGGCGAACCGTTTGGTTCGAATGCGTGGTAAGTCAACAACGTCTGGTTGTCCGATGGTGGAAGGGAGAGGGGGGAATTAAATTGTGTAATTCCTGCACACACTCTCCGAAATGCATCCTGAAGAAAACCGAAAAGCTGGCTACTTTACGTCTGTGTTCGAGGCTGGTAAGATTGGTTTTAACCAATTTCGGGTCACCAATAAGCCTCTTAGCACGCCTTTCCATTGAGTCCAGAGCTGCTAGGTGGCATTTTGCAGCACCAGCCCATATATGGCAGCAATACTCCATGCACGACCGGACTTGCACTTTATATAAAGTTAGCAGCTGTCCCGGCGTGAAGTATCGCCACACCTTTGCAAGGACTCCCAGCTTCCTTGCAGCTGCTTTGGCCTTGGACTCAATGAACCGCCTGAAATTCAAATTTGAGGATATTTCAAACCCTAACAACTGCAGGCGGTCGGTATATTTCAGTGATACATTTCGGAAAGAAGGAGCCAAGGTGAGCTGGCTCCTTTTTGCAGTGAAGAGACACTCTTGTGTTTTGGAGGCGTTGAACTTCACAAGTTTGGCATCGCCCCAATCGGAGACTGCATGTAGTGTGAGATTCACACGCTCTACCATAGCTTCTCTTTCGGACTGGATTTGATCCCGACTGGCCCGAGGACTTGGTTGGTATCTCTCAACAACTGTGCTATCGTCTGCATACCCATAGATACCGGGCATAAGCAGATCATTAATATGCAGCAGGAAGAGAGTTGCGGAGAGAACGGACCCCTGAGGAACACCGGCGTTAGTCGCCATAGGATCGGATGAGCAGCCATCGACGACGACCCGGAGAGACCGTTCACTCAGAAAGTCTTTTACCCATTCAATCAAACCAGGGGATAATAGGGGCCGTACGCTGGAAGCTTAGCCAGGCTAGTGTGCCAAACTCTGTCAAAGGCCTTCGAGACATCAAGGGAAACAGCAAGTGCTTCCCCACTGTTCTCAAGTGCCTCGCCCCATACGTGTGTGGCATACGCTAGAAGGTCCCCAGCTGACCGATTTCGGCGAAACCCATATTGCCGGTCACTAAGAAGGTCATTCTGTTCTAGGTATGCCATTAAGCGGACATTCAATATACGCTCCTTAATCTTGCAGAGTATGAAGGTAATTGAGATTGGCCGATAATTGGCAGGGCGGCTGCCTTTTTTCGGAACAGGCTGCACGTTGGCCAGCTTCCAGGATTTTGGCACTATTCCAGTACTAAATGAGAGGCGGAACAAGCGTGTCGACACAGGAGACAACTCAGGTGCACAAGCCTTTAGGACTATAGCTGGTATATCATCTGGTCTACTAGCTTTATTCACGTCTAGACATCGCAAGGTTTTAAGAACCTCCTTATTCGTTATACAAATCTCCGACATAGAAGTCCCGCAGTGAGGTAATTTTGGTGAAACGTTGTTGCCACTCTCCAGACGTGAATTGTAGGCAAAGAGAGACGCAAACAAGTCCGCTTTCTCCTTAGCCGTATGCGCCAGTGTGCCATCCGGTTTAACCAGCGGAGGCAGTGTTTGTCTCGACCGCTTTGGCGAGAGACCAAAAAGCTCTAGTGCCGGATGGTCTGGCAGAGTTTTGCGCCAATATGTTTAATGCGATCGAGACTAGCTTTCCGTAATGCTTTTTTGTAGGACTTGGCGGTCTGGTTGAAAGTTCTCTTCTTGGAGCTAATATCCGGAGCTTTGCGGTTTCGAGCGTCAACCCAGGATAGGTAAGATAAATGCTTGCGCTTTTCAGCTTGGGCGCATTCAGCGTTAAACCATGGGCGAGCTTTGCTACCGGTGGGAGCGTCAGAGAAGGGGATAAAGTACTCCATAGCTTGACGCAACACATCCGTTATCGCAACCGCGCAGCTCGACGGATCCGCAGAAGAGAAACAGACCTCCCGCCAAGGATAAGATGCAAAAAAGTGTCACATCTCATCCCAATCAGCTGACTTATATCGCCATATTCGTCGAACACCTTGGGACTCGTAATCAGGTGGAGAATATGACGATACAGATTTCACCAGACAGTGGTCAGATGTACCCAAAGGAGAAGTAACCTGTACTTCATATCTGTCTGGTTCGATAGTCAGCAGAAGGTCCAAGCAATTTGCTGTGTACATCGGGTACCCTAGTCGCCACCTTTACCATCTCAGAAAGACCTAGCGTTAAAGCAAAATTTCACGCTTCTCTTCCAGCATGGTCGGTCTTTTGGTATGGGAACAGCCAGTCTTGGCGACAAGTGTTAAAGTCCCCCAGAAAGACCAACTGTGCAGTAGGATACCGATTTAGGGCCACGTCAACAGCCTCACTAAGGTGATCAAATAATCGTGTTGTCTTCTAGTCACCGCTGTGCGATCGATAGACACAGGCATAAAGGATTTTATCAATACCTGTATCTACCATCACCCAGATTGTCGAAAAAGTGGGGTCTTCAAGGTGACAGAGACGCTGGAAGCAGATGTCATTGCGGACGTACACACATACTTTGGCACGTGGATGGAATTTGCGCTCAAGGAAGAATCCAGAATAGTCAAGGTACGCCGCACGCAATTGACATCCAATTTGCGTTTTTTTTTTGTTTTTTTTTTTATTGTATTTAGTTTGGACTACTGACGTTTAAACCAACTATGACATAGCTCTAATTTAATAATTATGATAAAGCCTATTATTCTAAGCTGAGAAAAGAAATTGTTTCTACATTTTAACCAACTGAATTATGTTGACAAACAGACACCTGATAATTTAGAGTACGTCGGCAAACTGAAGGTCAAACAGTATAAGCAATGATTTAATTTTATAGTTTGAGTAGGCTAGTTAGCCTAGCTTTCCATTTACTCCCGTCGAGTTGGGGGTTGATACATATTTTTACAGATAATTTACACTATTATCAGCACACACACAAAGTTACAATATGCGGAAACGCGTAATTTTTGAGAAAAAAGTTATTGAAAATCAATTATTCTTGCATTGTTTATATCTAATCCTACCATAAAACTGACGCCATTTTATAATGTCATTGTAGTCAGTAGGGATGTCGATTCTTTCCGAAAAAGGTCGATTTTTAAATCTATTCAAATCGTAAGCTGATGTATCGATTCACAAAAAATCGATTTCTAAAATATCTATATTTTTTTATGTTTGCTATTTTTTGTTATATATAATGTAAATATAATTCCATTTTATGAAAAAAAAGAAAGATAACATAATAAATGATCTCTTATTGAAATTTGTTTTATTTCAACAGTACCAATTAGGGCAGATAACCAATAAAATAGGTTAGGTTCAACTTATGTCAAAGAACCGAATTGATTGACCCCGACTCCACCTGGTACGAGTCTGTCCTACCCCTAGAGTGGTTTTATAGAGCCGGAGGCGCTGAGGCTGGTCGCCCAAGGCGACCAACAAGCCGAAGCTGCGGAGGCGAGGAGGGATGCCTGCGAATTGTTACGCTAAGGCGTAGAGGCTGCTCTTCCCGCAGCGCCGGAGACGTAGCAGTTTCAAAATAGATACAGAAATCCTTCTGAATCAGTCCCCCTATATTTTATGATGAAGGGGACTTTTTTCTCATAAAATGGATTTATATTTACATTATAAATGCAAACATGAAAAAAATATAGATATTTTAGAAATCGATTTTTTGGGAATCGATATATCAGCTTACAATTCGAATCTATTTAAAAAAATCGATCTTTTTCGGAAAAAAGACATCCCTACTGACAATAACAATAAAAAATGGCGTCAGTTTTATTGTAGGACTAGCGACTTCGTTCGCGTGTTAGGGTTTTTATGTTTCCGCGCGGAACCCTGATTCTTTTTCTAAAATAAAAGTAGCCTAAGTTACTCCGTATGAAATCAGCTATCTGCCAGTGAAAGTCCTGTCAAAATCGGTCCAGCCGTTTCGGAGATTACCCGGAACAAACAGACAGACAGACAGACAAAAATTTTAAAAATTGTATTTTAGTTATAGGTATTGTATTTACTTTCATATGCATTTAGTAAAAAACTGTAATTTTGACATTACAAACAGACACTTCAATTTTATTTATTTGTATAGATTAGATAGACATAAATAATGCAAGAATAATTGATTTTCAATAACTTTTTTCTCAAAAATTACTCACTTCCGCATGTGTAACTTTGTGTGCTTATAATAGTGTAACTTTTCTGTAAAAATACGTATCAAACCCCAACTTGACGGGAGTCAATGGAAAGTCGTACTGGCTAGTTTCTGTCAAGCAGATGTTTAGGCCAATTTTTTGGCTGTAAACAAATCTTCTTTTCTCATTGTAACTGCCTTATTCTTACTATAGGTATTATATTAAATAACCCATAATTTTAAATATACTGATGCTTAAAATGCAATAAAGAATAACAAAATTATTAATTTTATTTTGATACCTAAGTAACTGCCTTGTTTGCCAGCAGCCCATAACCTTTCTTCTGAAGTATATCTGTCCAAACGACCATGGTACCATTCTGATTCTGGGGGTGCCAACACAGCTTGACGTTCACCTGCATATAAATTGATAAATAAAATAATTATTTTCAAAAAATTCAACAGGCTCATTGTAGACAACAAAATTACCATTAGTGCTGGGTCCATCTGCTTCATCTAGCTCTAAGTCCGCAGCCAGCTCTGCTGGATCGGCACCACCGTCTTCTGACTCAGTAGAAGGAGATCCTAACTTATCCTTTACAGGGGGTCCGATGGGAGCCCCCATAGCGCGTATTAAATCAGCCATTTTAGTCCTTGTTATCTTAGTAACGTACTTAAACGCGCAAAGAAAAAACTATGAGTCACACATTATTCATTGACACAGAAATATGAACTTCATAAGATTTATTATAATGATTTTATAGTCAATATAATTAACATAGAATACGAAATTCCATCACCATACAAACCAAGATAAAGCGATGGTCAAACCCCACACAATTTAAAAGTCAGTAAAAATAAGAAAAAACACAAGAAATTCTCGTATTGTTAAAAAAAATCTTTAAATAAGAAAAACCTCATCGGTACGCCCGTCCAATAATTGCATACAAAAGTCGAAAGTCGAAAAAAAATCACACAACCACAACAACAGACAGATCTATAAAAAATTGTTGACAGTTATTAACCCACAGATTCATTCTATTGTCTATGATCTATGGTTTTTGTTACAAATTATTACCAAAGAGTATATAATTACTGCGTATAATAATTATTACTACACACAGTGATTAATTACAAGGAAATACAAACCATAGACTTAGAATATACTGCCGTATAGACTAGTTTGTGCGACCTGACAGCCCGAAAATGTCTAACTAACTTTGATTTTGTCATTGTATACGTTACACAGACTAGATGAATACGCAGGAGATATGAAAGTGTACCAGGTGTCTGTGGATACAGATGCACTGTCTATTCTCTCAATCTCGGTATGTTATCAAAAAGGTCACCCATCTATGGACTGACTGCGACAAGTGCAACTTAATCTCGTAGATCTATTGATCCACGCAGCTGTTAATTATCCACGAGTTCTTCTTCTCTACGCCTAACGCTGTAGGCGATGAACCACGCTATCAAGTCCTCGGCACACTGTCGTTGGACATCAAGCATAAATTGGGCATCGGGTGTTATGAGTATCGAACACTATGGAATTTATACTATCCTGGTAAACTGAACCGCGCGTCTCATGCGCGGCCACTAGCGGCGCTTCAGGAGCATTACTAAATATTAGGTATAAATACTACACTTAAAGATTTATCATAGTGAATTGGGAATATAATCCGAAGCTACGCTCAACCGTTTGGGGAAAATAGCGTGGTGGTTAAGTCAGGTTAAACAGTTTTTGGTTGATGAATAGGTACTCAGTTGGGTTCATAATTGCTTAAATAGGATAATCTCAATTTTTTTTTATTTTCAGTATACTGCAGTGTTGTAACGTATAAAAAATCTATCTATATTTTTACCTAAAGTTTTTGAAGTTAAGTTTTTAAAGTCTTAACTGTTATAAAATAATACTTACTTGTACAAATCGTCGTTGACGCCGCAAAGGGGCGAACCTCAATTTTTCAAAGAATTACGGGAGAGCAAGAAAACATTTATTATTCCCAGATTACTAGCTTTTTTTTCATCAGAAAATTGGTATTATTTGTAGTTTTCCATTAAGTCTAATATATTTAATTTTCATTATTATAACTATTCAAGATTATTTATCTTGAATGTTTATAATGAATCTATGGTTCGGCCTCACATGGAATACTGTTCTCATTTCTGGGCCAGAGCACCCCAGTACCATCTTGACTTGACCGCATCCAGCGCAGAGCGGTTCGAATCGTCGACGACCGAGTTCTTTCTGATCGGCTCGATACACTGGCACTGCGTAGAGATGTTGCATCTCTTTGCGTATTTTATCGCATCTACCACGGGGAGTGCTCTGAGGAATTGTTCGGACTAATTCCAGCTAATCAATTTCACCATCGCACATCGCGAGAAAACTCGCGATACCATCCGAACCATCTGAATGATTGGCGGTCCACCACTGTGCGATTTAGAAGAAATTTTCTCCCTCGCACAACTTCCTCGTGGAATTGATTACTACCAGCGATTTTTCCGGACCGATACGAGTTAGGTACCTTAAAGAAAAAAACCTACTACTTTTAAACTAAAGGCCGGCAACGCATCTGCAATTCGCTTGGTGTTGCAGTTGTTCATGGGCGGTGGTAGTCACTTACCATCAGGTGAGCCGCATGCTCGTTTGCCCACTCTCCTTAAAAAAAGTTATTGTATTATACTTTTTGACAATAACTCGCAAAGATTATTATACTTAGATCATTGGCATTGGTATTCACTAAGTTTTAAATATTTAGGTTTTGGAAACGTAAAGGAATTTGGGCGGATTGCTGCTCTTGTATTGTTGTTTAAAGTTGAGCCAGCAGACAACTGACGGTTGGCGATGGTATCTCAAGGTGCTTAAGCAGACAGGCACCTTATTTTGAGAATCACATCACTATCAGAGCACTTGTTTCACAGTTTCCACTAATAGTTCACATGCGCAGACACTTAATACACAAAATCGCACCACTTTTACATATCGAAGTCCACTTCAAACCATTATTTAAACAATAAAACAGGAGCAGAAAACCGCCGCCGGTCGAGTTCCCGCTAAAACTCAAAAACTATTCCTTAATAACATTTAATTACGCGTGTACACTTAATGTGTAATTAATTTGCAGTATAGAATTGTGCGAGTCGAACAATCGAAGACAATAAAAATCACATTTTTACTTCACTGTTTCCTGTAAACAATATCAAAAACTACCCTCTCCACAAAAAAAAAATCTACTATAAAGTTTATATAAAATAATGTAAATACAAAAAATGTTTAACATTCTTTTACACAATTTTAAAATACTTTTTTATATTTAGTTTAAGTACAGGTCAATTTCAAAATTATGTAAATAAAAGTATAATGTAAAATAATATATTAGAGCAAACTGTGCAGTGCCAAGACAAAAACAATTGTGTTAAATGGCATGAAGAACTATATTGTAATTAAAATTGTTACTTTGTTGAAATAAATAAAAAAAAATGTCTTGAAGTGGATTTTAATATGTAAAAGTTGTGCGATTTTTTATATTAATGTCCGCGCATGTTTACTATTAGTGGAAACCATGAAACAGTTGCTCTGATGGTGATGTGAATCTCAAGATAATGTCTCTGTCTGCGCCTTGAGATACTATTGCCAACTGTCAAAATCTCCCAAAAACGACGCAATGTGACGCAACATATTGTAAAGCAGTATACTATAAGAGATTATCTCCACTTGATACAGAAAATCTATAGAAATGAAGATCCTGGATAAAATGGCACTAAAACGAAATGTATGAAATTTATGACACCAAATGTCAAACAATTAAATACTAATGTAATTTTAAATGGGGAAAAACTGAGTCTTGTAGATACCACCATTTTTCTTGGAATCACACTAGACGCGAAGCTTCAATGGAGCCCACATATATCAAAACTAGCAAGCAGACTTAGTTCTGCAGTGTATGCCGTAAAAAAGATTAGAAGTCTAACTAGTGTTGAAACAGCTAGACTAGTTTACTTTAGCTATTTCCATAGCATAATGTCGTATGGTATTTTGCTATGGGGACACGCAGCTGACACTGAAATTATATTTGTTTTACAGAAGAGGTCCATAAGAGCAAGTTATGATTTAAAGCCTAAAGAGTCGCTGCTACAATAATTTAAGGAAATTAATATATTAACTTTGGCCTCTCAATACATTATGAATTTATAGATGATAATAACCCCTGGAAATGAGTTGATCGCTACCAAACTATTTCTAATTTGTTGTGTTGTTAATTTGTGTAACATACATGATTGTAAGCTGTTATTTAAAAAAAGAGTCCCGCTGGGTTTCTTGCTGGTTCTTCCCGGGACAGAGGTTTTTGTTTGAACCAGTGGTAATTATACAAAAGAGTGACTTTCAATAAGTATTATTTATAATCTATATTGAATAAAAAAGTTTCTGTTTCTGTTTCAATGAAGACATGGCTCAAAAGATAAGCATCCAGGCCATTAATCTTATGTAAAAAGATCTATGATTTCGTGTCGAAAAGTCATTTCATGCTCCGCTAGGAGCGTAGATAGAGGATTGACTAGATGAAGCATTCGCGTATGTAGAGATGGGTAACTCAGGAAAGATAGATACAAAAGATATGAATCAATCCGTTTCCATTAATCAATCTTTATATCCATCCGCATCCGAATGTATCACTGTATCAGTATATCTTTACAACTTATTCACTCAAGGCATCTTTTAACTTTTTATATCTAACATCTGTGTCGCACATTGCGCACACTGCTTTCTATTATACCTCGGCCGGCGTGGCTGGGCATTCCAGGAAGATTTCGAAGTCCATAGTACAGACGTTTCTTTCGCAGCTCACTATTTAGAATGTTCTGTCGCGCTTTGGCAAGACGGAGAGAGTGAGTTGTTTGACCATTATAAACTGTAATACGTTGGCACAAAAAGGTAAATTGATAACTCTATGACTGGCGCATAGTGCTTAAAGTCATTAAGCGGTACGTTAACATTTAAGTATTATACTGGTTTAAACCGTACCTATGTGTACTTTGCCTATGCATTTTTTAGTAAACAATGCAAACTAATTTCGGTTATAAAACCATCGTTTTTAAGAAAGTTTTATAACCGAAATAGTAGTCGTTTATAGCCATAAAAAACGGCCAAGTGCGAGTCGGACTCGCGCACCCAGGGTTCCGAACAAATCCGTAGGTATATTAGTTTAAAATTATTAAAAATACCCTACCTATGTTATTTACGTTAATCATTTATTTAATTATTATTTTAAACTAAAATTGTAAGGAAATTTTTCGAGTAAGTGCCTATTAATATTTATCAATCAAAACAAAAATAGCGATCGCTGTAAGTTTCACAGTACGCGAGCAACCCGGGTTCGATCCCCGCCGGCACCAATGAAATTGTTGATTGCAATTTTAAGTGCTGATTTACCACGTGTTCGGCGATGAAGGAAAACATCGTGAGGAAACCGGCATGTCTGAGAAATAAAAAAACTTTAATTTTTTGATCATAACACTATTTGTTATGATTAAAAAATACCTAGAAAGAAACAGCAACCAAATATATCAGAAAGATGCACAATGTTACGACTAAGCAAAATGCAAACAGCTCTATAGGTCTTATATATAGGTCGATAGGTATCTATCACTCTTACTGATAGGATTGAGTTGAGCGAAGCGAGCCACGCTGAGTGAGCAACGAAATGTAATGCGATGCGTGTCGTGAACGCGAGCATGATCTACTGATACATAAGGATATAAAGATATAAAAGAGTGATACATATCCTAGTGATCAAAAGATACATATCAATCTTTTCTTTTAAGTGATACACATTGCCCATGTCTACGCGTATGCTTTTGAGATAGAAATAGGCGGGAGGTACTTTCCCTGGGTTACCAGATATTATTCCATTTCCCCCAATCTGGGTTTATTTATATTCACAGCACTTAATTCATACAAAAAACTTATTTGTTAACATAAAAAAATGTTCTTTTATAATTCAGATGATTAATTCATTTATCTTGAAAATACATTCTGTGACTAAAAACTACGGACGGAAACGACGTAAAAACAGAATCATCATTCCGAATTCAACGGCGCATCGACGACTTTACTCGACATTTAATAAACTCTTTGGATTTCGACGGCACTAAGTGAAAACGCTACTAGCACAAAGTGTGATATCGCTAATAAGTAGGAGTATGTAAAATATGTACTTAAATATTAGGTAATTAATTATTAAGACTTTCCTCGTGTCGAATTTTGTTGTTAAAATTCAATAATGTTTTAACATACGAGTCCATCACAAGTTCAGTGCTGAACACAGAGCTCCGAAAGGAAAAGGTTTCCACATAGGTTTTGTAGTACAAAACACGGTTCTGAGCCAACTTCCGCGATTTCCTGCATGTCTTACTAAGATTAGTGGCTTGTGTGCAGCAAGTTGTGGCATACAAGAGAATTTGTCTATACACGGGATGATACTACCCCGCGTCGTAAACAATAATACAAGATGAGGATGGGGCAGCAGCACTTTCCTGATGAAAACTTAAAATAAACACAAGAATAAAACTAAGAAGATTAACGGCAGCATTTTCCTGATGAACAGCTAAATATAAAAAAAGCAGTGGTTGCCAACCCGCTTGCCAAGCGTTGCAACTATGGCAAATAACTATGTTCATGTTTATATTCAGCAGTGGACTTTAGATAGACTGTAAAGGAAAAAGGACTAAATTTTGTGTACTTACACAAAATTTAGAAATATTAACAATGTTACATTAAGTAAAACAAATGAAAACACAATTATATTATTAAATATAATCCAATAAAATTAAAATAAATAAACGATTATTTATTAATTTTTCATGATATTAATAAACAACAAAATTTTTGTCTTCTTTTTAGATCATTCGTTGTAATTCTTGGTATGAGTAGCTTTAGAATTTCTCAAAAATATGCATTTATAAACTTGATTTATAATTTTGCATGGCAGAAACTCTTGGGTGCTGGTTGTTAAAATCTGATTAGCAGGCAGTATATATATATATATATATATATATATATATATATATATATATATATATATATATATATATATATATATATATTATATGCCTTGTATATAATATATTTTAGTGGTATAAAAATAATAAGGTACAACTCCTAAACTATACTTAGATAGGTAATACCTATCTCTTGTCAAAAACATCGTTATTACATTATTTATGTCAATTAAATGTAAATTATTATTAATAAATTATTTATTTCTTAATTTATTTCCACATTATTGTTTATAACACCTTTATAAAAAGGATTAAGGGGGGACTAAATATCTCATTGGTAGGCATTTCCAGTCAGTTTTACAATTATTATTGCATAATAAATTATTCATTTGTATATTTAAGTCAGGACTTAAAATTATTTATTAATTATTTTATTTAAATCTTTACTTGCATAAAACATGGTAGTACAGATAAAGTTCCTACATTTGTAAATGAGAATTAATGTTTAATCAATCTATCTATAATTAAATATTTTGTCATTGTCATGCAATTAAATTATATATATATATATATATATATATATATATATATATATATATATATATATATATATATATATATATTTTAATGGTATAAATAATAAGGTACACTCCTAAACTATACTTAGATAGGTAATACTTATCTCTTGTCAAAAACATCTTTATTGCATTATTTTTATGACAATTAAATAGAAATTATCATAATTATTACATTTATTTTTTAATTTATTTACACATTAATATTTATAACACCTTTATAAAAGGGATTAAGGGTGGACTAAATGTCCCATTGGTAGGCATTCCCAGTCAGTTTTACAATTATTATTGCATAATAAATTATTCATTTGTATACTTAGGTCAGGACTTTAAATTACTTATTTATTTATTTTATTTAAATCTTTATTTGCATAAAACATGGTAGTACAGATAAAGTTCCAACATTTGTAAATGAGGATTCATGTTTAATCAATACATCTATAAGTAAATATTTTGTCATTGTCATGCCACCCAATTATTACAAGTCATAATAATACAGAATGTCAGCATTTGAAAATAAAATAAGCAATGCTAGTCAATTTTTAATACATACAGAACAATGTCAAAAATCATAACTACCAACAAGATCAAACTTATATCACTTATGGAGAAACAACAAGAAATTATAACATTTAAAAAAATTATCTTAATTATATTATAAATTACATAAGTTAAGCATATTTAGTCCACCTAAAACAATGAGGCTCTCAATGTTTTGAACATATACTGCTAAGTTTTGTTGGTTACCTATAATTACTACCAGTAGCGATTATCCAACAGTTACGGATAGCTGATTCCTTAGAAAAGCTGTGAAATAATATATTTAAAAGAAATTAATATATTAAATATATAGTACACTTTTATATCAAGGTATTTAACAAAAAAAAATCAATGTGTATCTGTGCATAAATACAATACCTATAACAATTAAACCAATATCAATTCAAATCAACAGTCGTCTCACGGACCTTAAAGCAAAAGGACGCGCTACTTTTTAACGAGAAAAATATCCGAGATACCCACAACTTTAAAAATGGTTAAATGTATCAATTGTTCTAAACATATTAATAAGAAAAATCCTGGACTGCAGTGTTCAAAGTGTGGAAAGTGGCTTCATGCGTCATGTGCTAGCATTTCAATTGATCAGCTGACGGCTCTGTCAGCTACGGAAGCTGTGGACTGGAAATGTAAAGCATGTGTAGGTTCGCAGAAACCGAAGCGCCTCTCCTATATTATACCAGACCCTGATGAAGATGACGGTGAAACATCTGAAGCAGAGGGATCCATTACTGCTGCTTCGGGAAGAACAATGGACAATAAAATGCTGCAACCAGTTCTACAACAATTACGCACTGAAATAAGAAATATTATCCGAGAAGAGTTGCAACAAACATTAAAATATTTTTCTGACAAAATTGATGAATACAGTGTAAAAATTAACAACTACGAGACTCACGTAAAAACGCTTGAAAAACAGTGTATTGATCTAAAAAACAACTTAAAAAATATTAATCTTAAATGTAGCGTACTAGAGAGTAAAATAAATCAACTAGAACAAAACCAACTGATGTGTCAAATAGAAATTTGTGGTGTTAAGGAATTGGCTAACGAAGATCCGGTAAACATAGCTAAACAGGTAGCTACCAAGATGCAGGTAAGCCAAAATTACATAATTAAGGCATACCGTAAGAGAAAAAATCGCACTGAGCCTTCAAATAGGATAGAACATTCACCAATCATTGTTACGCTGCAAGATGGAGCACGAGACATCTGGCTGAATAAAGCCAAGGATTTTAAAATGACAACGACCGAACTAGGACTGCAGGGTAGCGATAAGGTGTATTTACGCGAATCACTAGCACCTGGGATTGCATTTTTATTATGGAAGACCAAAGAAGCACTTAAAGATACTTTCAAATTTATATGGTGCAAAAATGGCACAATTCTACTACGCAAGGAAGAAAAGGCAAAAATAATCTCCATACGCACTCTCTTTGAGTTAGAATCAGTTATGGCCTCGCAAAATAAACCTATTAATTAGTAAGAAACAGTTTTAGTTGAGTGTTAAGTGCCTAAAAACGTTTTTCTTTTTTATCTCGCTTTTTATATAATATTGTTTAATATTTGTTTTTGTGTATTCTAGTTTAATATAATTTAAGTACCTTAGATAATGGATATTGTAGGAATAGAATATAATATAAATCCTAACATTATAGAGTTAAACTGTGATAATTGGAATGAGTTTACAGACAAACTACCCTTAGATAATTGGTCGCTTCTGTTTTTTCATGTAAACATATCATCATTATTTAAGAATTTTGCACATCTGGAATATATAATAAATAACACTACACACATCATTCACGTAATCATAGTTACTGAGGCTAATATTCAATATCATTGTGTTAACATGTTTAATTTACTAAATTATAACTTATATTACGAACTAAGAAATAACAGGAAAGGTGGCGGCATTTTGCTATATGTTCACTCATCCTTGCATTTTAGTAGAATTCAAGTATTAACAAAGGAATGCGAATGCATTAATGGCCAAATAAACTTAAAAAACGGCACTATAGGCCTTTGTGCAGTATATAGACCACCCGATACAAACAAAGTCCGTTTTATTGACGAGTTAGCTAATATTGTAGGTAAACATTCGCCTAAAATTTGCTGTATAATTATGGGTGACATGAATTTAAATACAAAGAAGACAAATCACACCAGCACTAAATATCTTAACACACTTTGTGAATTAGGACTTGACCGTGGTATAACGCAATACACACGAATAGAAAAATACGGGAACCGAATAACAAAATCATGTTTAGATCACATTCTGATTAGAACGGTATGTAAGAACGAGGTCTATACGGCCGGTGTGAACATCGCGCCAGCCGACCATAAAATAATAGGCTGTGCTATACTCGGACTCATGACGGATCCGAACTATGACTCACTGGCTCAAAACGCGCCGCGGTTCGTTACTAAGTTGGATAATAAACAACTTCGTAGTGAACTAGATCTAATAGATTGGAAGTTGCCATTCAGTTACTCTGACCCAAACGACATTGTTAATTACATACGGACGCAAATGAATAACGCATACGATAAATGCAAGTATACAAAAACTTTAGTTATTAGTAAGCGCAAATGTTGTGTGTGGTCTAATAGGAAACTAGTATATATGTGTAAAAAACGCGATGAACTATTTAAAATCTGGCAGAGGGATAACACTAATTCATTAAAAAGATTAAATTACAATAAATTTAGAAATAAAACAAATAAATATGCTCAATTTTTACGAAATCAAAATACTAAAAAAGAAATTTGCGAAAATTTTGGAAACCCAATAAAACTTTGGCAATTAATAAATAGTTTAACTGGTAAAATAATACGTTGTATTGATGATATATTACTAAAAACATTTAATATGGATCCTAAAACATTAGCAAATAAATTTGGCTTAGAATTTGATAAAAATGTTAAAAAAATATGCGTAAATTGTGATAAGCCACTTTTGAATGCCCGTACCTATGAATTTAATCCTGACAGAACCGTAAAAATAAAAACAGCTACGGATGCTGACGTCACTAAAATTATTCAAACTATGAATGATAAAAAAAGCCCTGGGTATGATGGTATTCGCGCTTGTGATATAAAATACATTTCTAAATCAATGGTGCCACTTATTACCTACTTAATTAATCAATGCCTTAAAACGTCCATTTATCCAGACATACTAAAAATAGGTGTAATCCGACCAGTCTATAAAAAAGGCAAACATAATGACTTTAACAATTATCGTCCTATAACTATTCTCTCCTGCCTAAATAAAATAATTGAGCGTTATTTGAGCAATGAACTAAACAATTACCTGACTACTTACAGTATAATAAATTCAAAACAGTTTGGTTTTCAAAAAAATAAAAGTACAACACAACTATTACGGCAATTTACTGATGAAATAAATAATTATCTAGATAATAAAATGCATGTTTTAGTAATATTTGTTGATTTTAGTAAAGCATTCGATCTATTGAATTTTGACACATTATACAATAAGCTATCACGCTGCGGCATTCAAGGACCATTCTTAGAACTTCTTAAAAGTTATCATCATAATCGTTATACCACTGTCAAAATATGTAACCAGACAGGTGATATGTTCGTGACTGACCGGGGTACAGCACAGGGTTCGATACTGGGCCCGACTGAGTACTTGCTATTTGTAAATGATATGGTTAATGCAATAACTAAGGGTTCTATATATCAATTTGCCGATGACGCCTGTATCGTTATTGCCGATCGTAGTATGGATGTAGCACAAACTGAAATGCAGGCAAGTTATGACATGCTATGCAAGTGGGCACATGATGTCGGCCTAGTGGTTAACGCTCAAAAAACAAAACTTCATATACACTCATCTCACAACAAAATTACCACTGCACCGACTATCATTTCCCATGGCCATGAATGTCTCCACGGAATGTTTCAACACTGTACATGTCAACCCATTGAAAATGCCAAAAATCACATGTATATTGGTCTGATTATTGATGAACGATTTTGCTGGAGAGCGCATAAAGATCACGTGTGTGCAAAACTTCGCTCTGTGTTAAGTAAACTTTATGTTTTAAAATTTAAGCTACCATATAATATACTTAGATTACTTTACATAGCTCTAGCAGATTCTGTTATAAATTATGGACTTAGCAGTTATGGAAGAACTTATGTAACGTACATACATGAAATTTACACACTACAACGCAAAATGCTTAGATTGATAGTACCTAAGCACATTAAAAATAAGTATATAGATAATGACCGGGGTCTTTTAATTATTGCAAAGTCATAAATGTTTTCGATAAAGTTAAATTTAATATACTGACTGAAGTAAATGATTCAGAATACCTAGTTCTTAGAAAACGACCTGTAAATTTACGAAATATAGCTTATAAATCCAACATGTATGTACTTCCGAAAACTAAAAATTTCTATGGAGCAAGAAAGTTGGCGCATCTTGTACCTACTTTTATGAATGCCTTGCCACTAGAATTACAAAACACATACGGTAAATCAAAACTGTTTAAAAGTAAACTCAAATCATATTTGATAAATCAACCATACTTATTGTAGTAAGTACTTCATACTGGATTATTGTGATTTCATATTAATACATCTTTGTTTTTATAAGACGACTCTCTAGTGTAGATAAACCCCTAGTGGTTTATATGCTAGTATTGTACTGGATAATGTAACATAATTATGCTTAATAAATTAAAAAAAAAATTGATTTAATTAAATAGCAAGTATATGTAAATGTAATGATAATATTATTCATACCAAACATTTAAAAAAATTATGTACATATTAAGCTTCAGATATTGTTAAATAATACATTTACAGCCTAACAAATGTCCTCCACCGCTGAACATAGACCTCCCACACAGTTTGTCTCCAAATAACTGCAGTTGCCAATTCTCCTGCCAAGCTAGGCAACTATCACAAAACCTATAACTTTTGATACTGACTAATGGTAATGGTAAGTATATTATCATCAAATTTTTTCTACATCATTAATTGAGAATATTATCTTATGTTGTTGTGTTATTGTGTACCTTAAGATTAAGACTTATTTATTTATTTATTATTTTATCTATATTTATATTTATTTTAATATTAGCATGACATATTTTTTTAATAAATATTGTAATGTAATTGTTGCTAATGTATAATAGAATTAATGGAATGCAATAAAGTTTTGTGTATCTGATTTCAGGCAATACATATTTTGTGAAATTAAATATACTTGGCCCAATATTTATGTACTTGAATCGAAACATGTTTTCAGGTTGATACTTACATATTATTTGTGACGTCTATGTAATATGGAAAATGATTGAAGAGTTGTAGGGCAATAAGGAGTTTCCTTTAAAGCTGAACATAAAAGTGTATGTATATGTATAACATTATGTGATTCATATTTATGGACATAACTACTAATCACAATAACAATTATTATTGAACAATGCGAAAACATTATTGTACTCGCTGATATCCCTAAAGTTTCTATAATCCTACCAAATCAAAAAGTACACGTTTGTTATGACTTTAAGCTTTCGAATGACCGTTCAAATTAAGAAGCATTATCATGAAGAATTTACAATTTGGGAGTCCAAATATTTGACAAAATACATCACAAAGTTCATTAAAAACATGAAATGTTACACTTTATATTCAAAACAATAGATATTAATTAGTACAAGTAGCAAATGTAAGCACAAAACAAACTTACCGATGAAAGGTAATATTATCAATTTTTCGTTGACTGATGCTGTTACATCCTAAAATGCTACAACTTACCATGTTTTTCATCTTACCTAATAACTAAGATCCACAAAAAACACTAAATTCAATTACCTGTTTGCTTATAATATCAATATTATTCAAAAGAGCTTGACATCGTAAATGTCAAATAAAGGAGGGAAAACAATCAAAAACATATACCTAGAAAAAGACAAGAAATATAGATTTGCTTCTCCCTTACTCTTATGTCTAACTATATACGTGCATTCCTTTCACACGCTGATGACGTCACTGAATGTTTAGTCTATAAGATACTATGTCTATGATACTCAAGCACCTGGTAGATCATATATACTCAGAGCTATGTTTGTGTTGATTTATAATATGATTAATTGTGTAACTTTATTAATTATTTTGTATTTTAAAATTATCTCAGGGATTAATAGTGATAGATATAAGTATATTTTTGCATGTTGAGTGTGAGTTTATGTTTCATGAAAAATTAAAATAACCCTATTTTTGTAATAGAGGGCAGAGTGGACACAGTCCGAGCTCCTTTTCATTAATAAAAAAAGTCGTCTTAACATTTAGTGTGTGATTCTTAAATGTTAAACCATAAATGTTAAGTTTTGTTTTGACGTTATAATAATATTATTACTGTAATTTTTCCATTGTTTTATTGAAATTTTAATGTGTACTATCTTTTCTTTTGACTTCTTAGTAAAATACGATTTTTTCTAGTTTATGGTACGATCTCTTAAAAAATTAAGTTGGCAACCCTGTTCCATAGAGAAAAGTAATAATTCATTTCATTCTTGCTACATATATATTTATCTATGATTTCATTCTTAGTGGCGTTCATCTAAACACTTACCTAATTGTTTTTAATTTTACTGCAATATTTCGTTCTCGTATTTTGAAGTCACATAATTGGTAAGTTCCACATTATTTTTATATTACCTACCTGCAATTACTATAGCAATTGATTTATTTGTTTTATTCATTTTACCTATACACTGATGTTTAAATTTTTATTTGAATTACGCGACGCCATTTTATGAATTGTCGCTATGGTTAAAAAAAATCCTATCGGATAGCTTTTATTTGTTCTTCATTTGTTCTTGTTCTTTGTCCTCTAGTAATTTTAAATCAATAGTTCACTGTACATTTCTACAAGAATATCAATAGATATATCCTCTTGCTTATCTTGAATCTTTATTTTTGTTATTACAGGAGAAATATGCAGATTTTTGTGAAAACTTTAACTGGGAAGACAATTACGTTAGAAGTCGAACCCTCCGATACTATTGAAAATGTTAAAGCGAAAATACAGGATAAAGAAGGCATTCCTCCAGATCAGCAGAGGCTGATTTTTGCAGGAAAGCAGTTGGAAGATGGTCGTACGCTTTCAGATTATAATATCCAAAAGGAATCCACACTTCATCTTGTATTACGCCTGCGGGGTGGAATGCAAATTTTCGTGAAGACACTTACAGGTAAAACAATTACACTCGAAGTTGAGCCTGCTGATACCATTGAAAATGTAAAGTCTAAAATACAGGATAAAGAGGGTATTCCCCCAGATCAGCAGAGACTTATCTTTGCCGGTAAACAACTTGAAGATGGTCGAACTTTGTCAGACTATAATATCCAGAAAGAATCTACATTGCATCTTGTCTTGCGCCTCAGGGGTGGGATGCAAATATTTGTTAAGACACTAACTGGAAAAACAATAACTTTGGAAGTGGAACCATCAGATACCATAGAAAATGTTAAAGCTAAGATTCAAGATAAGGAGGGCATCCCGCCAGATCAGCAGCGTCTCATCTTTGCTGGTAAGCAATTGGAGGATGGTCGTACCTTGTCTGATTACAATATCCAAAAGGAATCTACACTTCACCTTGTTCTGCGCCTCAGGGGTGGGATGCAAATATTTGTTAAGACACTAACTGGAAAAACAATTACTTTGGAAGTGGAACCATCAGATACCATAGAAAATGTTAAAGCTAAGATTCAAGATAAGGAGGGCATCCCGCCAGATCAGCAGCGTCTCATCTTTGCTGGTAAGCAATTGGAGGATGGTCGTACCTTGTCTGATTACAATATCCAAAAGGAATCTACACTTCACCTTGTTCTGCGTCTCAGGGGTGGGATGCAAATATTTGTTAAGACACTAACTGGAAAAACAATAACCTTGGAAGTGGAACCATCAGATACCATAGAAAATGTTAAAGCTAAGATTCAAGATAAGGAGGGCATCCCGCCAGATCAGCAGCGTCTCATCTTTGCTGGTAAGCAATTGGAGGATGGTCGTACCTTGTCTGATTACAATATCCAAAAGGAATCTACACTTCATCTTGTTCTGCGCCTCAGGGGTGGGATGCAAATATTTGTTAAGACACTAACTGGAAAAACAATAACCTTGGAAGTTGAGCCATCAGATACCATAGAGAATGTAAAAGCCAAGATTCAGGATAAAGAGGGTATTCCACCAGACCAGCAACGTCTCATTTTTGCCGGTAAACAATTAGAGGATGGACGAACTCTTTCAGATTATAATATACAAAAGGAATCTACACTTCATCTTGTTCTGCGCCTCAGGGGTGGGATGCAAATATTTGTTAAGACGCTAACTGGAAAAACAATAACCTTGGAAGTTGAGCCATCAGATACCATAGAGAATGTAAAAGCCAAGATTCAGGATAAGGAGGGTATTCCACCAGACCAGCAACGTCTCATTTTTGCCGGTAAACAATTAGAGGATGGACGAACTCTTTCAGATTATAATATACAAAAGGAATCTACACTTCATCTTGTTCTGCGTCTCAGGGGTGGGATGCAAATATTTGTTAAGACACTAACTGGAAAAACAATAACCTTGGAAGTGGAACCATCAGATACCATAGAAAATGTTAAAGCTAAGATTCAAGATAAGGAGGGCATCCCGCCAGATCAGCAGCGTCTCATCTTTGCTGGCAAGCAATTGGAGGATGGTCGTACCTTATCTGATTATAATATCCAAAAGGAATCTACACTTCACCTTGTTCTGCGTCTCAGGGGTGGGATGCAAATATTTGTTAAGACACTAACTGGAAAAACAATAACCTTGGAAGTGGAACCATCAGATACCATAGAAAATGTTAAAGCTAAGATTCAAGATAAGGAGGGCATCCCGCCAGATCAGCAGCGTCTCATCTTTGCTGGTAAGCAATTAGAGGATGGACGAACTCTTTCAGATTATAATATACAAAAGGAATCAACTTTGCATTTGGTTCTTCGTCTTCGCGGTGGGGATTAAATACTTTTATAACTGTGACTTCACTTTACAACTGTGTTTGGTATTGAATTATAATTGATAGATTTAGTAATTCATTTGTTAGTCCCCTTTTTATTTAATAAATATGTTGATTTCTTCCAATATAATTGATTTTTATTTCTCACTTAAGGAACACTATAAATTTTTATTCAATTATCTAATATGAATTTGTAAATACAACTTTGCGCTTAAAATTATGTTGAAACTAGCTTGTCTGGCATTTTTTAAATAACGCCACCGTTTTTGTTAGAAACCTTCCGAAACTGCTAGCATAATTAGTCACCAGTTCAAAAGTAATCAGATGAATAGCATGTGAATACATAGAGGACAGTTTTTACCAGCGTCTTTCTAATAACAACTAGAAAATAAACTGTTGTTGCCAACCTGCATGGCAACTACGGTAAATCTGGGGGATATTCTATGAGGTAATATATGGAGAAGTTTTATCTTTAGCAGTGGACTTTAGATAAGCTGTAAAAGTAATTTTTATTTAAATATGTAAAAATATTGTATAGAACAGAACAGATATACTCTAGTTCGTTGATAGAGACTACAGGCAACACTACTACGATCTGCTAAGCACGCCAAGCTTTTTAGTGGCTAATTTGACCTTTCCCTCCAAGTGACTCGATCTGGCAACATATAACGCACGCACCCTAAGGACTAACGTGAAGATCCTGGCGCTGGAAGAAGGGATAGGCAAGTTGCGCTGAAATATTATAGGATTATCCGAGGTTCGAAGAGAGGGGGAGGTCACGGTAATCCTCGAATCCGGCAACTTGTTCTATCACCAGGAGGGCCACCATCTGTCCCAAGGAGGTGTCGGATTTGTCGATCACAAGTCTCTCGTTAATAACGTAGTAAAGATTGTGAGTGTGTCGACGAGGATTGCGTACCTTAGAATCACCAAACGGTATTCACCAACCTCGGCACATCTCGATAACAAGGTGGAGGAAATGTATGAGGACATCTCTGAAGCCATGCATTCCTTCAACACCCACTACACGGTGTTAATGGGAAACTTCAACGCAAAACTAGGCACAAGAGAGAACGGTGAGCTGAAGGTAGGGCAATTTGGAATAGGGTAACAGAATCCAAGGGACCAGCAGCTGGCCGACTTCATGGAGAAAGAGGGACTCTTTTTTTTTTTTTTTGGAAATGAAAATGTTTATTTGTCTCAAAACAGTTACATGAATTATAAATGAGACATCCCCAGTAAGTAATTGATAATACTTGTGTTGGGGCTATCTCGCTCTTTCCCTTAATTATTAACAATATTGAGACTATTATACAAAACGTAAGTAAAGATAAATTTATGAAGAAAAGATAACAGTAAGTGACTTATAAAGTAATTATTAGCTCTTTGTGTAACTGTAGTTGTACGCCAGTGTGAAACTGTAGTGCATCTTGTTTTTAAATGTGCGTGCGTGCGTGCGTGCGTGCGTGTGTGTGTGTGTGCGTTTATGTGTGTGTGTGTGCGTTTATGTGTGTGTGTGTGCGTTTATGTGTGTGTGTGTGCGTTTATGTGTGTGTGTGTGCGTTTATGTGTGTGTGTGTGCGTTTATGTGTGTGAGTGTGTGTCTTCTTTGTAGTGCCGGTGTGTTCGAAGTGCATGTAATAGATTAAGCTCGGTGAGTACGTACATTATTGATAAGAAAGATGTAAAAAAAATTGCTTAACTAAGTCTATCTAAAATTTGTTCAGTTTTTTCGTATGTTAAGGTTTTTAACCACTCAGTTATTACCTTTTTGCATACGTGTGATACCTCATGGTGGAACTTTAATTTTACGTTTATTTTATTATAAATGTAGACTGATTGGGTTGCATACTGACGCCGTGCAAAAGCGGTTCGGACCCTTAGGGAGTAAGCCACTATGTCTTTTCGTCTCCTCTCCTGACTGTCTTGGTTAAATGGAATAGATTTTTGTAAGTATAGGACCGTTATTAAGTAATATAGTTTTCTAATTGAAAGTAAGCCACTGATTCTATATAGATCGTCGGTGGGGTATCTGTATGGTTTATAGTACATTACTTTTATAAGTGACCTTTGGGCTCTTTCTAACTCAAGGAATTTAGTTTTAGTGGCTCCTCCCCAGACTGGTAAACAATATGTAAGAACTGATTGCGTAAGCATAATACAGATGCTATTTAGTGTCTTCTAAAGCATCACATATCTTAAATTTTTAAAAATCCATATAAATTTGCGCACCCGTGATGTAACAATCTCAATATGCGAATGCCAAGTTAAACATTCGTCAACTATAATTCCCAAGTATCTTGTGGACGTTATATGTTTAAGGACCTGGCAATTACAATTATGGTTCAAGTGGTCCGCACACGTGTGTATTCTAATTTTAAAATTGAGGCCTGGTTTAGACCTTAAACTAGGAGAAAAACAAATGTAGTTCGTTTTAATCACATTAATGGTTAGCAGACTGGCTTTGAGCCATCTATCTATAACAACTAATCCTTGCTCGGATTAAATTAAATTAAATTAAATCCTTTATGATGGACTCTTTCTTCCAGAAGCGGCCCCACAGGAAGTGGACCTGGTCGAGCCCCGACGGTTCGACAAAAATGAGATTAACTTCATTATGACGACTAGACTGCAACTGTTCAGTGAAGTCTCAGTGATCGCGAGGGTGAAACTGGTAGCGATCATCGAACGGTTAGAGGCACACTGAATTTAAACAATAAATTGGAGAGTTGTCGTTTGAATAGTTTTCAGTACATAGAAGATTGCAATGCAGTGGACGATATGAATGACAAGCTCGTGGAAGCTGTCCATGCGGTCGAAGTTAAGTTTTGCAAGACCCGCCGCGGAAGAACACAAAAACTCTCCAATCACACTCTTAATCTCATGGCTGTAAGACGGGAAATGAAGTAATCAATAGATTTGACAAAATACAGGCAACTGAACAGACAGATCTCTAAATGTATGCGGCGGGACTTACGCAACTTTAATACTGCTAGTATTGAAGAAGCGAACGAGCGAAACCGTGGCTCCAAAGTCTTTGCTTCTGTCGAAGCTGAAGACCGAGTGTGGCAGCATCGTTTCCGGTACACCTGATTTTGAGTGAGATTGAGAGGTACAATAAGCAGTTGTACACATTATCGTTGGAGTCACACGCAGGTGTGAGTAACGATCCAAGAGCAAATCTTATCCAACACTATTCCGATGATATTCCGGACGTCAGTCTGAGCGAGAGTAGAATCTCTCCAGCACCTCAAAAACGGCAAGGCCTCAGGCGAGGATGAAACTGCAGAGGAGCTTCTGAAAGCGGGTGGGAAACCGGTACTTGAAGTTCTTCAGAGGCTCTTTAATTCCGTCCTCCATGGTGGCACCACACCGGAGGCGTGGAGCAGAAGTGCGGTGGTCTTATTCTTTAAGAAAGACTACAACGTTCTCTTGAAGAACTACAGACCGATTTCCCTTTTGAGCCTACGTGCTGTTTTCGAGAATCATTACGAATCGTCTCGCACGCAGACTCGACGACTTCCAGCTTCCTGAACAAGCCGGTTTCAGAAAAGGCTTTAGCACCATAGACCACATACATACCCTTCGGCAAATTGTACAGAAATTCGAGGAGTACAATTTGGCACTATGTCTGGTGTATGTGGACTATGAGAAAGCCTTTGATTTCGTCAGAATTTGGGCGGTGCTGCAGTCTCTTCAGCGGTGCTAAATTGACTGTCGGTATATTGAAGTGCTGAAGTGTTTGTACAGTGGGGCTACGATCGCTATCCGAGTACAGAATCAGAGTACGAAACCTATCCAATTGCAGAGAGGTGTAAGACAGGGTGACGTTACATCCCTGAAACTTTACCGCTGTATTGGAAGACGTTTTACAAGCTACTAGACTGGAAAGGATACGGTATTAATATCAATGGCGAGTACATCACTCACCTTCGATTTGCCGACGATATAGTCCTTGTAGGACTTAGAGGCCCTATGCACTATGCTCAACGACCTCAATAGTGCCTTCCAACATGGACAAAACAAAAATCATGTATAACGTCCATTTCACACCTATGCCGGTAGTTGTTGGGAGCACTAAGCTCGAAGATGTTGACGAGTATGTTTACCTGGGAGAAATAGTCCGTCTAGGTAAGTCCAACTTCGACCGAGAGGTCAATCGAAGGATTCAACTCGGCTGGGCAGCGTTCGGGAAATTACGACACATCTTCTCGTCAGGTATACCTCAAAACTTGAAAACGAGACTGTACAACCGGTGCGTTGTACAGTCCCTTAGGTTTGAATCACAGCCAAAACAAATTTTGAAAGAAAAAGCAAATTTTAGGTTTGTTGTGACAAAACAGAAACGGGACGGCAGTGGGCTCTATTTTGTTTACGTGGAATACTAGCATCTTGTATTAACACAACGATTGAAGATTATTGTTATAGAAGCATTTTGGGTATAATATAAATGAAAAAAGGAGTGCGGTCTACCCTCCCCTCACAATCAACTTACCATTTGGTAACAAATTGTTGGTTTATAAATAATCGGGTGCTTATTATGAAATTAATTGCCGAATGAAATTAGGTTGGGAACGATATCATCATTTCTACTCGAGTTAACGAAATAGTTATGTTGAAATTTGGACCTTCAAATACCAGACGACAACTTCTAAATAGGAAAATAATAGATATCGTATTTCCTTCAATTATCGATGCTCATAACATCCAGTTTTAGTGGATCAGCTCTTGATGTTCATTATATAGAATTCTTCATTCTATAGGATTCCGTCAATTGCTGTTCTTTTCTGTCCTGTTCTTTACTTTCAGTTTTGGGTTACAGCTTTCTACAATAATCATGGCTCTTGGGCCAATCCAGGGTGAATTGAAGTTTATGCGTAAGCTTTTAAATTATATATGACTTTCAACAAATACCAGTTTGTGATCAAGATTATGAGGTAGATACGAAAATTTTGCTGTACAATCTCAATGACAACTGAGTCATTATTTGATTAGTATTATAAAAAATGTAGTTGTATATATAAAAATACTTTATTTGATTAATGAAGAAAGGTTAAATAACATGACACCAAAATTGTTAACATTTTTATTGGGAGGCGAAACGAGCAAAAGTTCAGGATAAATTTTTAATACAAATCAATAATTATTATATTACATACATCACATAAATCGTCAAGTTCATCTATTTAATTATAGTAGGTTTACAGTACAGTAACATGAACAAGAATACATATTATACCAAATATTTAATTTATATTATACAGAAACAAACTTGAGGCAACAGTTTCCTATGACACAATTTGATGCCAATTAGATAATATACGTGTTAATAATTGAACATATTTTTTATATAAGAATATTGCTGTTTGTATAACTTTAATTTAGAAAAGATTAATTTTTAATAATATTGACTTTTGTATACTTATATGTAATAAATATAAAATTATTATTTAGCAATCAGTTATTATAATATCAAATTAGACACCAAATCGACACAGCTTGATTTGCCTCATTACATTCCCAATTCAATACAACACCTAGAGAACACACCGTTAAGATGAGTAACGTTAAATATATTCTCTTCAACTGTCAACTAGCTAGAGAATGTTATCGAGTCTAAAATATTTAGAACAACAACAAGTAAGCCCAATTTATGGAAGGATAGTGTTCGATAAATGTGAGCGACCGATAAAATATTAAGATTTTTTCGTATAGATAATCGCAATGGCATTAATACATACACCATGTGCATTCGACAGTGTACAGCAAACACTGAAACGTAACACTCCTTAACACCGAAAAATGTATTTAATTGCCCGAATACTTACATTAAATAGACACTTGAAGGTAGAACGATTATTTTATGTACTTACATACGCCTAATATTAGATCTAGGTATTGTCTTTTGTATGCCAGAAGTGATACAATGGGGTCCATATTATTTACGACAATGATTTCATGATTATACTGAATGACAACATCAATAAAGAGAAAAATGGCATTCATGTTTTAATTTGACTCCATTAGTGCATGCAACATTTAATATTATGTAAACATTTTATGTGAAGTTCCCATGAAAAAAACTAGTTTTAGGAAACGCAAATAAAAGATAATCCAAAATTTTGGTAAATGTTTAACGCGTTATTATATAAAAAGAAATGAGAAAATTAAAAAGAAAACGAATTATAAGCGTTACCTATATATGATTATATCACAATGATTTATAAATTACATTTTTCAATAAGACATCTAACGGCAACACGCCACGAAATTCTGGCAAGATTTAATAACTTACATGCCCCTCATTATTGAAAGTATAACTGTACGAGTATAATAACATATCGTTATGTTGTATACGTTTCTTGTTTAAAATAAATACCCGCAGAGATATAAATTCTAATCTCATATAAACTACTTTACGTCATAATACTAAAATAAACACGGTTTTCTGTGTTTTTGAGGATATAAAAATAAGGAAAGAAATATACGTACACTTAGGGATACGCTACAAAAAGATACATCATATGTAAAAGTAGTAAAATAAAATTAGTTACTAATTAAAGATATCTTAAAATATCACCATTCAGAATTGACGCTGCCAACAGTCAGAGATAACAGCGTGCTAGCAATCTCAATCTGAAAAGGGACACGGTCCCTACAGATAACTTTTGAGATATCGCCCGTTCGCTGAATGCTATGTTGTTATTCCATTTTTTAAATCAAAGAAAATATACTAAAGTATCTAAGTAGGTACTTTAGCTTGAAATTCCAAACCTCAATCAGAAAAAACTAAAACTGAAAATTAAAGCTTCTAAAAGTACCTAAGCATTTTGTACCTGGCTGCCAAGTGTGCAGTTTAGCAAACATGACCCAACTCACAAAAATAGTTTCTAGAACTATTATATATTTAAATCTGTTTTTGATTTGCAAATTAATGGAAAATTATCACTAAGTTCATATTATGTTTTGTATAATAATTTTAAGGTGGTTTAGTGTAATGTTTTAATTAAATTAATATGATATACCTAATAATACACTCCACTAGATTGACGATTGGAATATTTTTGCTAAACTACACTAAAATTACAAGTAATAGGATCACGTAAAAAAAAATTTGGAAGACTATTACTCTCTACCAACGATTAAATAAAAATGTCGGGTTTTTATTTCGTTTGAACATATTTTTATCACATTTTGGAAAAAATATATATATGAGATAATTTAGATTTCTTTAGTATTGAGCTTTAACGACGGAATAAAATGTAATTTAATTTTTATTTGTCTATATAATACTGAGATATAAATTATGTTTTTATAGACATAGGTCACTACTATTGTTTTTTGGAATCAGGTTTCAACAATATATATACGTTCTATATTTCTTTTTCTATGTTTTAATTATTTGGATTTAATATTTCGCCTTTATATTCATATAAATGATTTATTATGATAAATTAATACTAAAACGTGAAAAAAAAAAGCAATCATAAGTAATTCGCGCATTAATTTTTCATAAATAACTAAAATATTTTTTGGAACGTTTAAGTCTACATATTTATATAGGTATAAACAAAAAATAGTGATTATTAACAAAGCATAAGAAGCTGCAACGCAGCGACGTCTCAAATAGATGTATATAGTCTATAGTCAACGGAATGAATGTGTCTATGGCGTGTGAACTTTTTACATGTTTGGCAGTGGTACAGTGACCTGCACGTAACTGATGGGAAAGTAGCCGGTTTTGCCGTTGATGGAGCCCTCGAACCAGTTCTCGTCCACTTTGTTTATCAGAGTGATCACATCGTTTTCCTGGAATTAAAGTGAATTTGTAATCGAATTAATTTTTTGGCCACATAATATGATATAACTAATATATCACCAAGAAAGATTCGACGATATTTTTAACCGAGTTCTAAAACTAAAGGTTCTATATTCGACGCGTATGTTTTTTATGTATGTTCGCCGACTTCACAAACTTTTTGACAGTTTTGTTTCTTTTAGATCTAAAGGTGATAAACAAGCACACAGTTCACCTGATATTAGTATGCTTTGATCCATAGACACCAGAGATCCTTAATTTAGAATCAAAATGAAATTGTTTTCTCAATCAAACAAAATAAAGATGAAATGTCTCGTTACCAGTAAAATGAAATACAGCAGTATTTAAAAGTAATAGCAACATAACTTCACGCTAGTATCTTGTGCGAGCGCGGTCTTTTCCTGATTAAGCCATTCCTCCTTTGTTTTGCAGCCATAATACAGTGTAGCGTTGCATTACCACGTTGAGTCTCCAATACCGAGGTCGAGAGTCCTTTTAAGCAAGTTTCTCCAACAGTTAGATTTTCACTACCTACCTTTACCTACCTATAAGTATGCATTATATCACATTTAAATAACTAGCGATCCGCCCCGGCTTCGTACGGATGATTTCTGGATCTCGACAACAGCGCCACTTACCGCGCCATTTGTGAATCGTTTATATCTTTCAGAGATTAGCCGGAACAAACAGACAGACAGACGACAGTTTTTAAAATTGCTTTTTTGCTATAAGTACCGTACTCGTATATACTTTAATATGCATTTAATAAAAGCCTGTTATTTTGACACTACAAATAGACACTTCGATTTTATTTATTTGTATGCAATAAAAATATTAACTGATGTAACTATTTTGAAGAGAACATAAACTTGAGTCTCGAATTAGTATATTTCATGGAAATCGTATATACGTGCTAGAGCCATGCTGCAGCTATATTAATAGTATAGTTGTAGCACGAATGGGTCGGCTCGACCGGGGAAGGACCACGTTCTCACAGTATACCAGCGTAAAATAGCAGTTTAACACTGCTGTGTTTTGTATGGTGAATGTAGAGAACCGGATATCCTTTTTACTGTAAAAGAGGCATTCCATCTTAGTCCTCACGGGTGACAACGCATCTGCATTTTGATTCTCTATTAAGGATAGATGTAGATATCTATGGGTCACAGCAAACACTTACCATCAGGTGGACTGTGTGCTCGTTTGTCACACTCTTATCTTATTAAAAAATAATCGTTAAAGATAATTTCCAGACAATTTTTCTTTTTCTCCCGCTCGCAAATGTCTAGTGGGTCTTCCCTTTTGTAGCGAGTATACGCCTTAGTTGTCATGCTTGATATGCGGATTAACGACCGCAGCATCAGACGTCTCACATATTTGACGCTGCTGAGCATTCTATAACAGACGTGATACAAATACAAGTAAACTATTAACAAAACAACACAAATGCGTGTTGTGTAGACGCAAGAGAATCTGTTACTCAATAACTACTGAACCTCAATCATTCAAAACAGTTACTACAACATCTCAGGCCAGAGAAGCGTTTGCGGCGTTAGTGCTGCGGTCGCCAATCTTCCTACCCAAAGTGGTGATTACAACGAATCGTTACAAAATGGAGGAGGTCAGCAATAAGTGGTTACTGACTGTGGATATCAACAAACGAAAATAGCCTCTTTTTAAGTAATCTACAGGGTTATTTTGCAATAACCGACCAAATCTGCAGAGAAGGTTGAGAATAAGTAATATAGGCAAATGGTAAAGAAAAATGTATTATAAAAAATCTCAAACATTCAGTCCTCTTTATCTTTTAAATTCAAAATGCGTGGTAATGCATTATTTTAACTGATTGTCTTTCATAAATATCTATTTTACTACGCACGCACACATTCGTAATGGTCGAAAATTCGCACACAAAGGAGCGCGCGTATGCGCTTAGTTGTATAAATCAAATCAAATTCAATTTGAGACAATTTCAAATAACAGTTTTTACTGTTGTTGCCTTACTTACTCGTATTTTTAAAAACTGCAATAACGGTATATCATTAGTTTTATATTCAAGCTTCAGTTTAAAATTTGGCTACTCTTTAAAAAATGACCCTGTATATCAATCTTACCTTGAATCCCAGTTCGCCTTGGTTTTCTGGTTCGAAGTCATATAAAGCTGTGCAGCAAGGGGTCTTTGTAGGCGCCATCGGTGTTCGCGCGGGTGACTTAACCGGCGACGGCAAAGGCGACGCTGCGGCAGTACACACTTTGAAATAAATGGGCCGTTTTTTATGCATATGGTTAGCCACGGTTAGCCGCCATTTTCGTATTATCGCATTTAATGTCAGGCAAGTATCGGACGGGGATAAAATATGAATGTTATATTAAAATATCAAATTATCTTTATTAAAATGATAATTAAAATACACATACTTTTATCCTTTTTTTTACTTATTGTAAGTTAGCTTGACTACAATCCCTCCTGATGGTAAATAGTGATAAATACCCAAATGGTAAATCGCACTGCCTCAGCGTAATAAAAGTCTATTTACTCTGGTCTTGAAGACAGCCCAGATTGTAAACGGATGCAAAGACAGACGCTGGCAGATTATTTCACTCCCTTGTTGTACATTACGAAAATCGACGTACGAAACGTTTGGTTCGAATACGTGGAGTATCGACAACAAATTGGTGACAATCTGGCGATCGCGTGTCCATCCAATGGTCGAAAGGGGAAGAAGGAATTAAACAAGCATGTAACTCCTATGCACACTCTCCGAAATGCATCCCATTTTTGTTTATAAAATAAGGGTTACAAACAAGCTGATTAGTGACCGCCGGAACGGTTTCCGTCGAGGTCGCTGGCTGGTGATCTTCTTGTTTACCTAACTCATAGATGGGCGGAGGCAGTAGAGTCCAAGGGGGAGGCGTTGGCCGTTAGTTTGGACAAGCGAAGGCCTTCGATCGGGTTTGGCACAAAGCACTTCTTTCGGAGCTTCCTTCCTATGGACTTCCCGAGAAATTGTGCGATTGGATTACCAGTTTTCTTGCAGATCGAAGCATCAAGGTCGTAATAGACGGTGCATGCTCCGATTACAAACCCATTAACGTTAGTGTTCCACAAGGCTGCGTGCTATCACCAACGCTGTTTCGCATGCATATCAATGATATGTTTCAAACTGGTAACATTCATTGCTATGCAGACGACAGCACTGGTGATACTTTATACACCGGCCGTGCCAATATTTCTCGGGGAAACGTCGGCGACTACCGGAACAAACTTGTGTCTGAATGGGGGCGACTAAATCTAGTCCAGTTCATTCCCCAGAAGACACAAGTTTGCGCGTTTACCGCTAAAAAGAACCCCTTTGTTGTATCTCCTCAGTTTCAAGTCACTCCCCTTGTTACCTCAGCGGGTATCGGAATCCTCGGTGTCGATATATCGAGTGATTTGCAGTTTCGTGGTTATTTGGGGGAGAAGGCCGAATTGGCCTCTAAAAAGCTTAGCGAGTTCAGCAGACCGGGACGGTATTTCATGCCGGCACAGCGTTTGCAACTTTACAAAGAGCAGGTTCGGCCCCACAAGGAATACTGTTCCCATCTCTGGGCCGGGGCACCCTAGTGCCAGCTCCTTCCACTTGACTGCATCCAGCGCAGAGCTCTTTCCTAACAATTGAAAACGGTCAGTAGTCTCCAAGGATACCTTCCGGAAAGTAGGGTCAAGGTGAGCTCCTTTTGCCATTGAAGAGATAAGCTTATGTTTTGGAAGCGTTGGATCTCACAAGGTTGGCATCGTCTCATTCGAAAACTGTCTGCGGTATGAGATTCGAACGCTCAACCATAGCTTCTCTTTCGAACTGGGTTTGATCTGATTGTTCTGCTGATAACTTTCCACAACTGTGCTGTCGTCATAACCATAGATATCGCGCATAAGAAGATCATTAAATGCAGCAAGAAGAGAGTTGCGGAAAGAACGGTTACCCCTGAGGAACTTCGGCGTTTGTCGGCATAGCATTGGACGATCAGCTATCGGAGACGTCTTGGGAGAGTCAAAACTCCTTCACCGAGGCCTGGGCATAGGCCATAACGTTGCTCAAAAAGCTAGCGTGCCAAACCCTGTCATAGGCCCTCAAAAATATCAAGGGAAACGAAGTGCTTTCCCACTGTTCTCGAGAGCCTCAACCCATATGTGTCGTACGACATACGACGTACGAAGTGACATACACTAGGAGGTCCCCTGCAGACCGATTTCAGCGAAATCCATACTGGAAGTCACTGAGGAGGTCATTCCGTTCAATGCACGCTCCATAATCTAGCAGAGTATGGAGATGATTGAAATTGGTCGATAGTTGGAGGGTCGGTATGGCTGCCCTTCTTAGTCATAGGCTGCATATTGGTTAATTATTAAAATTTGGGCATTATTCCAGTCGTAAATGAGACGGAACAAGCGCGTCAAGAATCTGATCTGATCCACTAACTTTGTTCACATCTAGACTCCGCAAGGTTTTAAGAACCTCCTTGTTGGTGATGCAACCCATAGGTCGCATCATCAATTGACAGAGGTACCGTCCGTGAGGTAATTGAGGTTTCAAACTATTTTTATTAAACTGTGACAAAATTGATCTCTTGTTTAATTTTTGTAAGATATTTTTATTTATGGCATTTTAAATGGCATTTATAAAATTTCGAGCTATTGTTGACCGGTTTGTGTATGGCGGCTAGCCTTGGTAATATGAGAAAATATGTAAAATTCATGCTCTATATAATATTTCTAAACTATGTTCTACATATGAATGTAGGTATGAATTTAAAACATAAAATATTATAACAACTTCCATACATTATGGTCAATCGCAGTTGCCACTTCACGAATAGCTAGTAAAATACCACACAAGCGTTACAAAATGAAGCCAAACAAATAATTATTAATTGCGAGTTTAATGTTGAATGTTGTTTAAATTGATAATTAAAAATCAGACGACAAAGCGATAACATTGAAATGGGCCCCATGTTAACAACCATAATATGAACGAAAATAATGTAATAACGAATCGAACAAGATGCTACTAAACTTTTTAATATGCAGTTTTATTTTTAATTCAACTTCAAAAATACTAAATCATAAAGCAGTTAAAGAAGCAACTTCAAGACGACGGATGTAAATGCATATTAGAGTTAAAAGAGGTAAAAGAAAACTAAGGGAAAATTGGCTTTGTGTTGAAAAAATATCAAAGAAAAATACACATTGTGTTTTTTTTTCGTTAATTGCTGGTAATATGCAGTATATTATAATTATTTCATATTCTTGGATGAATTTGAAAACAAAACATTTTAAAATTAAATATAATACAATTCATGACTTGCGTCGTTTAGTCGTGAAATCACGCGGTATCAAAACTGGCGCATAACGCAGCAGTTCCACCATCATTATGTTATTGAGATTTTTTTTGCGACATAAATATTTTGCTTTACTTTTCTTATTATCTTCATTGTAAATGTATTAAATAATTTGTACCAATAAACTAAATATAAATGTAAGCGTTATTAAAAATATAAATGATGTAGGTATATGTATGTATGTACGATCAAAAAAAAAATATCAAAAATGTATTTTGCTCGTTCTTTGAGATTTTTTTTGGCATTAGCATATTTAATATTCACACACGAGAGGATAAAGTTTTGTATAACTACAGCTATATTAATGTGTATTAAATTAAATTTGCTAAATTATGGCAATATTATTTTAATGACATTTTCATTCCACACTGTCCAGCAAAATGGAATGGAATGAAAACTGGTCTGTAATAAAAGTGCGCCACTTTATGTTTATCGGAATTACATACTCTAATTACTGGCGCAGATTGTTTAATATTAGTATTGCCATAATTTATGGTTTCGTATGCCTATCTGTGGGTACTAAGGATATATTTGTGTGTCTTTGTGCGTGTTACCCTGATTGGAGCGTTGCGCGTTGGCAGCGCCGGGGAAGAGCTCGAGGTTGGAGGGCGGCTTGTGTTCCGGGGAGCCAGCGTGCGAGCCGCCGTCTCCGCGACGCAATTAAATAAATATTCCAGTCTGAGTATACCCGTACAGGTTGTTATATGACGAAAAAGTTTAATAACATGTTTTTATTTTGTGGGTGTATAGTATCAAATTTGATACACACGAATTCTCGTAAAAGAACTCTGATTCTAATAGCGAATGATACTTGCGGCTACTGGTAAATTAAAAACATAAATCTTATTTGAAATTTTATTTTCAAGTAAACATTAAAAATAATAGCCTGCATAACGTTTACATGAAGCTCTTCTATAGGTCTTTAGATCCGATTTCAATTGGCAGTTAAATAACTTTCGAATAACTATCAAAATTCACTTTAAAAGCTTAGTCAGCAAATTGAAGTGAGACTTACTTATTTATAAAACATGAATTCGCTTTATATTACGCACACCTTCACAAATAGTTGAGACCGAGGGAAGGGTGGGTCACTAAATTACCCCCTAAGGCCTTTCCCGCACGGATATGATTTAGTTATTTAAGACGTTATGATTGTAAATTGTTAACTTTAACAATTATAATGTTAACTTTATCAAAAAGAGTGCACATATCAAAGCTGCTGACATTTATGTAATACATAAATGTATACTATAATCTACTGTCGCTGATACTTGATACAATACGTATTTTTGCATAAGTTAATACTAAAACTGTAAAATATTTCAGTATGGAATTCTACTGAGGTTATAATTAAATAAATATTTGAAAAAAAAAACCTTAAATACATCTCCGCCGCGGGTGGGGGGTGGGGGGGGGGGGGTTTCCCAACTTTCTACAAAGGTGTCCTACAGAAGAATATAACAAAATCATATTGCTAAGCATATAAAAATCTTTGGAATATATTTGGAACAACTACAATTTCCCTAGTGATGCAGTTGTTCATGGGCAGCGGTAGCCACTTACCATCAGGTGAGCCGCATTCGAGTTTACACCCACTTATATAGAAAAGGCATATATATGTACTAGTAATTTTTAGATACATTAAAATTGCTTTTGGTTAGTAGTAAATAGTTCGAACATTCTAATCGAATATAGAAATTAAATTATTTCCCGTCTGTGTGTGTTTTATTTCGAACGTGTAACAATATAACTGAGAGAGACAATGTTAAGAAGAAGACAGAAGAAACATTAACGGCAGGCTGTACGTTCCAAGGGAAAGGAACTACGACATATATTAATGTATTTTCATCGACATCGGCTATTAATAAAAGCAGAACGATAAGTATGCGTAAAGAAAAATTGCTTAAATAAGAACTGGCAGTAAACGAGGACAAGTATTTAACATTGAAAGATGACTCTTGAGCTTTTTCTTTACGCATAAACACATAGATATTTAAAACTTAGACTAATGTATGTAAAGGAAAGGAAAGGATTCGGGAAGGACATTGCAGCGAACCTGAAAGAATTTTATGACACTGCACAACGGCTTAATCAGGTGCAATAGAAAAGCCGTGGAGCTTCTCTTTTTAGTTATAAAAAGCAAAGAACAAATTATAATAAGAAAAAAATTTTCATATACAAGCTTAAGACTTGTACAAATTAGCCCTTAACGAAAGAATATTAATTACAAAAGTTTGTCAGTAATTTGAGCTGTGATATAAACAATAGGAATGTTGCTTCACCTAGCGTGTCATTACGTATGACTGTATACGCGTAACTAATTATATATAAAAGCTATCTATTTATATATTTGTTGATTGAGCGTGCACAAAACGTGTAGACAGTTTCAAAAGCTTTTCTATTCAGTTATGTGTTAGACACTAAACAGTTGCTTGAATTATGTAAGTGAACTAGTGATAATATAATCCTATAGTATGATAACCGACATTGATTTCAGTGTACTTCCACCGCAAGCTATGCACCAGCGCAATGATACCTTTGTTAAGCGTGTAATTTTTTTCCACCAAAAAAAGAAAACATAAGAAAATTTGGCTTTTGTTACACTATTTGTTTTAGACCAATCCAAAATGCAAATTTACACAAGGGAAATGTAGTAAAATATTTTTACTGATTTAGTTTTAAAACCTCGTGTAGTGGCGGGTAAGAATATCCACTACCACATATCTTCCCGTGGGTGTTGTAAAAGGGGACAGAGGGAAACTGAGACAGAAGATGGGTAGCAGCATCTTTCTGATAACAGCAAAAGCAATAAAAACTGCGGTTGCCAACCCGGTCGCTAAACGTGGCAACTATGTAACCCCCATGAGCAATGACAATATAATAAACGGCCCCCAGTCCCCGGCGGCCCCGCTATTCCTGGCTACGGTGGCGACCATGGTAACAGCGGGGCAGGGGATGCTAAGAATCTCCGGTGCAGGTGCAGTAAAGATTGTGTGTGTGTGTGTGTCGACGAGGGTTGCGTACCTTATACTCAGAATAACCAAACGGTACGCTGAAGGTCATATAAGTTTACGCCCCAACCTCGGCACATCTCGATGAGGAGGTGGAGGAAATGTATGAGAATATATCTGAAGCCATGCATTCCTCCTAAACCCACTATACGGTGTTAATGGGAAACTACAACACAAAACTAGGCACAAGAGAGAATGGTGAGCTGAGCGTAGGGAAATTTGGAACAGGGCATCGGAACCCAAGGGGCCAGCAGCTGGCTGATTTCATGAAGAAAGAGGGACTCTTTATAATGAACTCTTTCTTCCAGGAGCGACCTCACAGGAAGTGGATCTGGTCGAGCCCCGACGGTTCGACAAAAAATGAGATTGACTACATTATGACGAACAGACGACAACTGTTCAGTGATGTCTCAGTGATCGCGAGGGTGAAAACTGGTAGCGATTACCGAATGGTTAGAGGCACATTGAACTTAAAAGTTAAGTTGGAGAGGTGTCGTCTAATGAAGTCAACGCTCCGTCCCCCACGTGTTCTATTCCAGTCCCGAAACTTTTGAGCTCGAGTTAAGAAACCGTTTTCAGCGCCAAGAAGATTGCAAAGCAGTGGACGATATAAATGACAAGCTCGTTGAAACTGTCAATGCGGTCGGAGCTAAGTTTTGCAAGACCCGCCGCAGAAGAACACGAAAACTCTCCGATCACACTCTTAATCTCATGGCTGTTAGACGGGAAACGAAGCTGCAGTCTTCAGTAGATTTGAAAGCATACAGGCAACTGAACAGACAGATCTCCAAATGTATGCGGCGGGTCTTACGCAACTTTAATACTGCTCGTATTGAAGAAGCGATTGTGCGGAACCAGGGCTCCAGTCTTTGCCAGAGATTTGTCTGCCAGAAAGAGCCAATTGTTCAAGTTGAAGACTGAATGTAGCAGCATCGTTTCCGGGACACGTGATATTTTGAGTGAGATTGAGAGGTTCTATGGGCAGTTGTACATATCATCGTTGGAGCCACACGCAAGTGTGAGTAACGATTCAAGAACAAGTCTCATCCGACACTATTCCGATGATATCCCGGACGTCAGTCCGAGCGAGATTAGAATGACTCTCCAGCACCTTAAGAACGGCAAGTTCCCGGGCGAGGATGGAATTACAGCGGAGCTTCTGAAAGCGGGTGGAAAACAGGTACTTGAAGCCTCTTTATTCCGTCCTCCATGGTGGCACTACACCGGAGGCGTGGAGCAGAAGTGCGGTGGTCTTGTTCTTCAAGAAAGGCGACAACACTCTCTTGAAGAACTACAGAGCGATTTCCCTTCTGAGCCGCGTCTACGTGCTGTTTTCGAGAATCATTACGAATCCTCTCCCATGCAGACTCGACGACTTCCAGTCTCCCGAACAAGCCGGTTTCCGAAAAGGCTTTATCACTATAGACCACATACATACCCTTTGACAAATTGTACAGAAGTCCGAGGAGTACAATTGTCCACTATGTCTGGCGTATGTCGACTATGAGAAAGCCGTTGATTCCAAAGAAATTTGGGCGGTGCTGCAGTCCCTTCAGCGGTGTCAAGTTGACTGTCGGTATATCAAAAAGCTGAAGTGTTTGTACAGTAGTGCTACGATGGCTATCCGAGTACAGAACCAGAGTACGAAACTTTACGTTATATCCCCGAAACTCTTCAAGGATACGTAATTAATATCAATGGCGAGTACATCATTCACCGTCAATTTGCCAGTGATATAATCCTTATGGCAGAATCGCTGGAGGAATTAAGCACTATGCTCAATGACCTCAATAGTAAGGATAGGTCTGAAGATGAACATGGACAAAACAAAGATAATGTGTAATGTCCATGTTACACCTATGCTGATAGTTGGGAGCACTGAGCTCGAAGATGTTGACGAGTTTGTTTATCTGGGACAAATAGTCCGACTAGGTAAATCCAACTTCGACGGAGAGGTCAATCGACGGATTGAACTCGGCTAGACAGATGAAGTGATGACCTCTTAAAGCATGCAGGAAGTCGATAGATGCAGGTGATTTAGGACCGTGCTTTGTGACATTCCTTGGGGGAGTTCTATGTTCAGCAGTGGAATTGTGAAGGACTGTAATGATGACAACCAGTTTTAAAACGGAAATGACTCTGTAAATGACAAGTTCGTGTTTACTTGTTTTCTAAGAGCGCCAGTAAACTGTTTTATTTGTGTTCACTGGCTCCGTCTAACAAACTCTCTTTTACTCATCTGCCCCAGAAGGAGGGCAATGTTTTTCGGGAGTATGTTTGTATGTATGTATATTTCTTTGGCACGCTCTGTAGTCTAAGCGGCTTAATGGATTTTAACATATAAGGTGTCGTGAGATTCATCTTAATTATGGGAGTGACATAGACTATATAATATTTATAGTTGAAATAGGTAAGTATAGATGATACGAGTACCTACCACGACGGATTTCTAAGCAGGAAAAGACCTAAGTGAATATTTTTTGTCACAATGGGCCTCTCCCATTCTAGCGGAGACTGGCCGATCTTAAATTAAATTATAATTTGTATTTTGAAATCATCAAGATATATTGCATAAGATCCATATACTTACTTCTCACAACAGTTGTTAGAATTAGTATATTTAAAAAAAATTGCCTTATATCGTTTTCGCCTTTTGTCAATTTACATTTTGGAATGTCCATTTTTTAAATGTATAAAATAGACCGATTTCCTTCACCAGTTAAGATAAAACAACCACAACCAAAGAAAACAGAGAAACCAAGCAAATAAAAGATACGTCACCTGTCCACGGATCTCTGCCGTTGTATTGTCTTGGCGCCGGGTGCGGCCTGAAACCAGGTGCGGGTCTATGGTCTACTCGAGACATAGGCTTGGGGTCCGATCGGGATAGGGACCTGGGATCTTCCCAGGCACTTAGAGGGTCCACACTAAGGTCACCAACGGACGAGGAGGGAGGGATGTGGTTTCGGGGGCGGGACAGACTCTGTGTGGAACCGTACCGCCTACCATTGTGCAAATCGTGTACGCCTTCGATGTGGAGGTCGGCTAACGTCTTCGGTACGAACTCCAACTTCGGACGGTTCACTGCTTCCTCTTTCCTAGAAATAAAGACGATATCTTTCCTCATATGCCGCACATAATACTGACATTGGAAAATAATTCTTACGACTATGACTTTGTTAGTTTTTTAAAAGCTTTGGGTGCATATACTTATATATTTTTATTTACAGAATTAATTTTATATTATTATGCAATTAAAATTAAAAATTATTATAAAAGAATAATTGTTACCAAGTACACTATGTGATGTGGTTCCTTTTCTACCTAGGAATTTAACGAGTGACAGTCGACCAACTTATAAAATGCACTTGTGTTATTAAAAAATTCTTTACAATTTCTTAGAAAATGACTAAATCAAGCTGCAAACTAAAACTTTGTTATGCTATAGCAAACTGCAAAAAATTAAAAATATTTTTGAAAAAAATGAGTTATATTTATTTACACTTTGTTTCTACTATAGTTTTACGTTTTCCTTTGCAGGGAGATAGGATCGATCCCGACACTTTACGTTAGTAGTTATTGTAGGCATTCAGTTTAAATCGTGTTACTTTTGGTTTACGCGGCGCAACCCTTAATATAGTTTAGAGCAATGGTGGCTTACCCTTAATATAGTTTAGAGCAATGGCAATTGGTGGAAGGTTCGTTACGGTCATGTGTATCGTAGGGTTGCACTGCCGAGAGCTAATAGATGGATAGGGAACTATGGCCACTTTTGTACGGACTAGATATGTGAATGATTTGATGTAGATTGTATTACTTTCAAAATCTAAGTCAGTTACCATGGTCCCATTTGGACAAATTTCGTTAAACCGGTCAAACCGCGAACGCACTTAATTTCCTCATAATATCAAGGAGGACCCTCCTAAGTTCACATTTTATGACAGACAACTACGGAACCTTACATTCTGCGAGGCTTAACACGAACTTGGGCGGTTTTTTTATGGTTCATATGGTTTAAGAGGATTTTTTCTTTAAATTTATATAGGACTGCCCTAAAATTATTTAATAAAAAATATTTTCTTAGTAAGAGTATTTAAGTCGGTTCATCCGTTTCCAATAATAAAAAATATTTATTTAAGTTGGTTCATCCGTTTCCAATAAATCGGTGAACATTCATAAAAATACACAGACTATTCTTGTTTTTTTTTTTTTTAAATTCTGTTAATAATATACCTTCTACCATAGAATAAATAATAGTGCTTATACTTGCCAGAGTTGACTGCCTCGATGGTTTAGTGGTCGGGCCAAAATGTTATTAGATTTTTTTGTCAAGAAATTCTCAGTAGCAGAGCGGAGTCAGGAAGTTAGCGGTGTTGCACCTCCGTGGAAAACACGTAAACGTTCTAAGCCCAATCTCTCTCCGGTCGTGTCGGATTACGGTCCTATCGAACTATGAGAGTGAGGGAATAGAGAGTGCACATGTGCTTGCGCATACACTTGGGCACTATAATCCTGTTCTGCGCCGATGGCTAGTCTCCGTTGAGGCTGACCGCGGTAGGTGAAATTCGGCCTGGAGGTCATTTTTATTATTATTGTGGTTTAAGAATAATGATTTGTTATATTTACGCGAACACTACACATTGAATAAAACTACTTTTACATATTTTATCGCGTTTAATTCTACTTATTTTTAATGTCCGACGTTTCAGGTACATTGCAGCATCCATGGTGATTGACGTCCCGATGTAGGAGTTAACACTCCTTCAGCTTTTAAATTATTACTTTTAGTCTGATTTACGCAGAATGAACTTACTGTATCTTTAAGTCTTGCAGTGGTATGCTTGGGTTTAGTTTTAATTTTATTAATTACAGGATCTCAAGCAGGTGATAGTAGTCAGCCTACTTATCTATTAAAATTGGGATGTTTTTTTAATTTCAATAGCCTTAGGTATCATCTTTGGTAGGAATAGATTTTCTTTCGCGAGAATATCATCATTCATCATCATTACAGCATTCATAAGTCCACTGCTGAACATAGGCCTCCCCCAAGGAATGCCACAAAGCACGGTCCTGAGCCACCTGCATCCATCGACTTCCTGCATGCCTTACCAGGTCGTCACTCCATCTCGTGGGGGGTCGCCCTACACTTCGCCTACCGGTACGAGGCTGCCACTCGAGAATCTTTCTTCCCCATCGGTTGTCGGTTCTTCGAGCTATATGGCCGGCCCACTGCCACTTCAGCTTACTAATCCGTTGGGCTATGTCGGTTACTCTAGTTCTACTGCGGATATCCTCATTTTTAAGTTGATCATGCAGAGAAACTCCGAACATAGCCCTCTCCATAGCTCGCTGAGCGACCTTGAGCTTCCTCATACGGCCAGCTGTGAAGAACCACGTCTCAGTTCCGTAAGTCATCAGTGGCAACACGCACTGTTTGTACGTTTTAAGGTTTTGAGGTATGTCTGACGAGAAGAAGTGTCGTAGCTTCCCGAACGCTGCCCAGCCGAGTTGAATCCGTCGATTGACCTCTCGGTCGAAGTTGGACTTACCTAGTCGGAATATTTGTCCCAGGTAAACATACTCGTCAACAACTTCGAGCTTAGTTCTCCCAACAACTATCGGCATAGGTGTGACATGGACATTAAACATAATCTTTGTTTTGTCCATGTTCATCTTAAGACCTATCCGTTGGGAGACACTATTGAGGTCATTGAGCATAGTGCTTAGGTCCTCCAGCGATTCTGTCATAAGGACTATATCGTCGGCAAATCGAAGGTGAGTGATGTACTCGCCATTGATGTTGATACCGTATCCTTTCCAGTCCAGAAGCTTGAAAACGTCTTCCAATGCAGTGGTGAAGAGTTTCGGGTATATGACGTCACCCTGTCTTACACCTCTCTGCAATTGGATAGGTTTCGTACTCTGGTTCTGTACTCGTATAGCCATCGTAGCTCTACTGTACAAACACTTCAACACTTCGATATACCGACAGTCAACTTGGCACAGCTGAAGGGACTGCAGCACCGCCCCAATTTCGACGGAATCAAAGGCTTTCTCATAGTCCACATACGCCAGACATAGTGGCAAATTGTACTCTTCGGACTTCTGTACAATTTGCCGAAGGGTATGTATGTGGTCTATGGTGCTAAAGCCCTTTCGGAAACCGGCTTGTTCGGGAGGCTGGAAGTCGTCAAGTCTGCGCGCGAGACGATTCGTAATGAGTCTCGAAAACAGCACGTAGACGCGGCTCAGAAGGGAAATCGGTCTGTAGTTCTTCAAGAGAGCGTTGTCACCTTTCTTGAAGAACAAGACCACCGCACTTCTGCTCCACGCCTCCGGTGTAATGCCACCATGGAGGACGGAATTAAAGAGCTTCTGAAGGACTTCAAGTACCGGTCTTCCACCCGCTTTCAGAAGCTTCGCTGTAATTCCATCCTCGCCTGGGGCCTTACCGTTTTTAAGGTGCTGGAGAGCCATTCTAATCTCGCTCGGACTGACCTCCGGGATATCTTCGGAATAGTGTCGGATGAGACTCGCTCTTGGATCGTTACTCACACTTGCGTGTGGCTCCAACGATGATGTGTACAGCTGCCCATAGAACCTCTCAATCTCACTCAAAATCTCAGGTGTCCCGGAAACGATGCTGCCACACTCTGTCTTCAGATTTGACATTTGGCTCTTTCTGGCAGACAGATCTCTGGCAAAGACTTTGGAGCCTTGGTTCCGCTCGATCGCTTCTTCAATATGAGCTGTATTGAAGTTGCTAAAGTCCCGCTGCATGCATTTGGAAATCTGTCTGTTCAGTTGCCTGTATGCTGTCAAGTCTGTTGAAGAATGTAGCTTCATCTCCCGTCTAACAGCCATGAGATTAGAGTGTGATCGGAGAGTTTTTGTGTTCTTCTGCGGCGGGTCTTGCAGAACTTAGCTCCGACCGCATGGACAGTTTCCACGAGCTTGTCATTCATATCGTCCACTTCATTGCAGTCTTCTAGGCACTGAAAACGGTTTTGTAACTCGAGCTGAAAGGTTTCGGGACTTTGGAACAGAGCATGAGGGGGACGGAGCGTTGACTTCATTAGACGAGACCTGTCCAACTTAACGTTTAGGTTCAGTGTGCCTCTAACCATTCGGTGATCGCTGCCGGTTTTCACCCTCGCGATTACGGAGACATCACTGAACAGTTGTCGTCTGGTCGTCATAATGAAGTCAATCTCATTTTTTGTCGAACCGTCGGGGCTCGACCAGCCGGGCTATTCACAATCGTCTCGGAAAGCGAATTCGACTCGGATTCGATAACTTCTCGCACCGAAACCAATAAACGCTATTCACATTTAACGTTCGGATGAAGGTCACTTAGATACAGCCCATAACTATTGTATCGTCATTTAGTTACATGCATTTACGAATTTTGTAGATAAATAGGCTTTTGTATTTTTTTAGAGTAACGCCTAAACAAAAACATAATGCAATATTTTGGTGTTAGCCATTGATATCGAATATAAAAAATATATAATTTAACTATATAATAAATAACAAAAAAACTGAGATATGTCTCGTTTCACAAAGCAGCATATATATATATTTGTGATAGAAAACTTATAAAAACACACCTTTCACAAAAATTCAGCTTTACGATTAAGTGTAAATATTGAAGTAATTATATGAAAATACGTCTTATAGATAATTGTAATTAATTTTTGTTACCTACCTTATAATTAAATGGATTTATTTATCTCTTCTAATCATCAATATTCGAAAAGTTTTCGCCAGCCTCAGAGCTCTCGTAAAGTTTCCGATGCAAACTGTCACAATTATCGAAAACAAACTTCAAAGAACGCCCCATAGAAAAAAACCCAGACCCGACAGAAACGAGACATATCTCAGTTTTTTTGTTATTTATTATATAGTTAAATTATATATTTTTTATATTCGATATCAATGGCTAACTCCAAAATATTGCATTATGTTTTTGTGCAGGCGTTACTCTAAAAAATTACAAAAGCCTATTTATCTACAAAATTCGTAAATGCATGTAACTAAATGACGATACAATAGTTATAGGATGTATCTAAGTGACCTTTATCCGAACGTTAAATGTTAATAGCGTTTATTGGTTTCGGTGCGAGAAGTTATCGAATCCGAGTCGATTTCGCTTTCCGAGACGATTGTGAATAGCCCTGCTGGTCCACTTCCTGTGGGGCCGCTTCTGGAAGAAAGAGTTCATCATAAAGAGTCCCTCTTTCTCCATGAAGTCGGCCAGCTGCTGGCCCCTTGGGTTCCGTTGCCCTATTCCAAATTTCCCTACTTTCAGCTCACCGTTCTCTCTTGTGCCTAGTTTTGCATTGAAGTCTCTCATTAACACCGTATATTGGGTTTTGGAGGAATGCATGGCTCTAGAGATATCCTCATACATTTCCTTCACCTCCTCATCGGGGTGTGCCGAGGTTGGTGCGTAAACTTATATGACTTTCAGCGAATACCGTTTGGTGATTCTGAGTATAAGGTACGCAACCCTCGTCGACACACTCCCGATCTTTACAACGTTGTTAACGAGAGACTTGTGGACGATAAATCCGACACCTCCTTGGGACAGATGGTCGCCCTCCCGGTGATAGAGCAAGTTGCCGGATTCGAGGATTACCATGTCCTCCCCCTCTCTTCGGACTTCGGATAATCCTATAATATGCCAGCGCAACTTGTCTATCTCTTCTTCCAGCTCCACGATCTTCTCTTCAGTCCTCAGGGTGCGTGCGTTGTACGTTGCCAGGTCGAGTCGTTTAAAATGGCAACCGAACCTCCACCGGAGATTCTTAGCACCCCCTGCCCCGCCGTTACCATAGTCGCCACCGTAGCCAGGAATAGCGGGGCCGCCGGGGACTGGGGGCCGTCTGTTTGTTGCTTTAATCATTGGGGGGTATTTGCCATAGTTGCCACGCTTGGCGAGCGGGTTGGCAACCGCAGTTTTTTTATTGTAATTTTAGCTATTATCAGGAAGATGCTGCTGCCCATCTCCTGCCTGTTTCCCTTTGTCGCCTTTTACGACACCCACGGGAGGATATGGGGTAGTGGATATTCTTGACCGCCACTACACGGCAATATGTGGGAATATGTGGCCCATTAAATCTGATGTAATGACGGGGGCCTTCTAGGGTGTGGTGATCACAAACTGCAGAATTCCCGGAGCGTTGGTGTCCTATTAAGGGAATGTGGTCTACATTCGCAATCAACCTTGTACACTCCTGCATGTTGTAGTCGCAAATGTTGGCAATTAAAAATAAGTAGAACTAAACGCGATAAAATCAGTAAAAGTAGTTTTATTCAATACTAGCTGTTCCAAGCGACTTCGCTCGCGTGTAATTTAAGGTTTTAATTTTTTTTTGCGCGGAACCTTAATTCTTTTTCGAAAATTAAAGTAGCCTAAGTTACTCCTTATAACATTAGCTATCGGCCAGTGAAAGACCCATCAAAATGGGTCCAGCCATTTCGGAGATTAGCCGGAACAAACAGACAGTCAGTCAGATAAAAATTAATAAAATTGTGTTTGTGTTATAAGTACCATATATAAATTCATATGCATTAAGTAATAAGCTGTTATTTTGACATTACAAACAGACACTTCAGTTTTATTTATTTGTATAGATGTATAGATGGTTTAAGAACTTTATTTTCTTATTAGGAATAAACAAAAGTTTACTTCTAAAGAAAGTATGTTTACAAAAAGATTTTTATTTTATAATTTATTTAATATTTTTATTATTTTTAAAGGACTGCGTCGCCGAGCGACTACATCGCTCCGTTCCGACTACAATCGACAAGCAAAATAATAAATATCATAGTAAAGAATCTAAGCGTATTTGATTTTTTTAATAATCACACTTAATGAATAAAAGGAATTACAATCACACCTCACACTCAAGTAGCAGATAGAATGTTATGTTTTGTTAGTGATAGGAATTTTCACACTGGCATTTTGAACAAAAATACTTATATTGAGCGTACAGAATTCACGTTGAATATATAAATATGTAATTTTAAATTGAGTAATCATACAATTTTAGCAACAAATTAATAAATTAGTAATACTAACACGGATCTAAGTAAGAAATGCATGTATGTAGCATGTAACATGTGCGTGTGACATTAGCCGCATAATGTCAGTTATGTGAGTTTAATAAATATGTTATTAGATTTTTCGAAATATGTATCAATATTCATTATTCGCCTGAACAGCATCTCTTTGATTCTTTTAGATTTATCGGTAATTATTGTTGTATTGGACATTTTGACAACTTAAAATACTATGTTCTACTTTCTGTAGTTAGATTTGTGTGTGCTACTAGGCCATGCGTCTAATCGATCACCGTTGGTGGGCGATAAATTAGTTTTCTCTTTTTAAAATACTCCACTTTGAAAATTAACGAAATAGACAAAATACATATTATATATGTATTTATTTCTCCGACGTATGCGAATAAAATTTCGTTTGTCAAATATCATTTATTTTAAATCTGAATAATCGTTTCTAAATTAGGATACTCTGATCCAAGAAGAAATAGCGAAAGAATTCCGCAGGTGTCCTCCTTTTTTTTTTGTTTAAAACTCGTATGCACATTATATTATTTTCAAGGCTCGCTAGGTCAATTAAAGCGCAACGAACTTTCTCCAATGAAAAACCATATATCAGAAAGAGGTAAATAGCTCTATGAGGTAAACGGATAACATTTATAATGTTCACACTTATTCGATTTCATTAAATTTTATTCTTTAAACTGTTTCAAATGCTTCTTCAATACATTGACACAACATGACAATTAATCGTAACGAAAGTAACAAACCGACCAACTTACTTTTCCATGAGAGTGGAGACGAGTCCCTTGAGGATCTCCGTGCACTGCTGGTGATACTCAAAGAGGCCTTCCGCGAAGAAAGTAAGTTGTGCCACTTGTTCCACCTGCAATTGTGTTCCATGTTAATAAAGCCAAATTAAAAGAAGCCAAAAGCGTGTTACGGCACGCATAAGATCCCTTACGCTTGCTGCTTTGCAAATAATCTCAAATATTTTCTTGATTTAAAATGCTCATTATAATTACTAAGCTTAACTATCAAAAGTGGTTTATTGAGTCTCAATATAATATCAAAATCATTCTGATGGGAACAAACCAGCACACACTCCACCTGGTGGTAAGTGGATCCTGTGACCCATAGACATCTACATTTATCCTTGATTAAGAATAAAAATGCAGGTGCGTCGTCACCCTTGAGGACCAAGATGGAATGCCTCATTTCCAGTAAAAACGGTCTCCGGTTCTCTACACTCACCATACGAAAAGAGAAAAGAGAAAGAAAAAAAGAAAAAAAAAGACCTTCAAGAAAAGAGCGTACTCCTTCTTAAAAGGCCGGCAACGCATCTGCGATTCCCCTGGTGTTGCAGTTGTTCATGGGCGGCGGTAGTCACTTACCATCAGGTGAGCCGCATGCTCGTTTGCCCCCTCTCCTATAAAAAAAAAAACGAAACAGAACAGCATTAAGCTGCTACTTTTCGCTGGTATTCTGTGAGAGCGTCCTACCCCGGTCGAGCCGACTCATTCGTGCTACAACCATCATGTAGCTCCAGCGTGGCTCTACCACGTTTAAAACAATATGGAAAAACAAGGAAAACTTGTAACCCCGGCTTACATAAAGTAGGTAATCTTTAAATTTTATACACTCACATTTCTAAAATTTCTACATTAACCTTGTACCTATTTAACAAAATAAATCACTTTAATTGTATCCCTTTAAGAATATGGAACATAGAGTTGATAAAGTAAGCGTGTGACGTTAATCTTATAAAACTTGAAGATACATGAAAGTTTTACGGATCCTTTAAGGGTAATAAACCATTGATCTTATAAATTCATAAAATTATTTCATTTTTGAACTTTACGTAAATTGTTGTTTATCATAAGTGAATTTATTAATTATTTATGTGGCAATGGGTTGGCCATATAGCTCGACGAATCGGATAAAAGGGTCTAGACTATAGTGACAGCCTCGTACCGCCAAGCGGAGTGTAGGACGGCCCCCACCAAGATGGAGTGACTACCTTGTAAGACATGCATAACGTCGATAGATACAAGGGACTCAGGCCGGTGACTTGTGACATTACATGGGGTAAACCTCTGTTCACCTGAAAACTTGTCAAAGGTTGTAATGATGACGATGTTCAATTAATTATATGTAATGATAATGTATCTCAACGAAAAAACTCACATCGTTATCGAGAAGGTTGAACATGCCGATCTGAGCAAGCTGCAGCGACTCGGCGAACTTCTCCTCCGCCTGTCGAATCTCCTCGTCTGGAATGTGAGCACCTGATGTACGCCCGCCTCAAACACAACAGTTCAACGGACCCACAATGTGTAGAAAAATTAATGAAAATATAGCAAAGATAAAATGTTGTTCAAAGATAAAATTCAAGGTATTGAGGTCAAGAAAAACATGTAAACGTATATTAAAGAAACAAGTTAATTTAAGTAGCATATTGCAATGATTAAAATAAAGAAAAAAAAAACAGAAAACCAAAATAAAAATACAGACCAAACGATGAAAACATAACCAGGAACAGTGCGAAGATGAAGTAGCGAGCAACGCAGGCGCAGGGCGGGAATATGGAAGAAACGGGCATTTCATGTAGGAAACAGTAGACGTGTGGTCTTATTACAAAACGGGTTTTATTAATAGTCTTGGAAAAGAAGATAATTGATATTTGTTGTCAAATTCCATATTTTAAATTTTAGTTCGCATATTTCCCGCGGGATTTCTTTGCCGAAACAGACTCTAGTTTGAACTTGAGACTAATTATAGACTACTTTTTGTAATAAGACTGGTGGAGTTTAATGCAAAATGGAATTATTATTTCATTTGTTAATTGTCTAGCATTATTATTACTTTCACTCGGGACATACCCTGTCTGGGCGTACCGCCAACCAACAGGACTTATATATGGGCTGACCTTACCTGATCCTTGATATGTGAAAATAAAAAAAAACTAATATAAATAATAATCTTACAAAAACTAATCATTTACATGCATCTCAGAATGTGTTTTCGTCATGTTTATCATTTTTTGCAACTGTAAAGTCTTATCTAAATTAATTTAACTAAACAACTAATGTAATGTAGGTACCTAATGTAACGCGTAGTAAACTACTTCCTAAAGATTATTCGTTTTAATTTCAAAATTTTGATGCACGGGGCTTCGAATGTGCTAAATATAATTATTAATAAATTAGACTTCATACGATTTAACAATTTCAGAGCACAACATAACATAAAGCACTTTGAACTAGCCAAACCATTATTTTACTAATGAATAAGCCTCTTTGCTCTGAATTATCTCGCTATGGTTTTATTCGTGAATAACCTTTGGCCTTTTCTTTAAGTTAAGGTAATCACAGATATTATAAATTTTAACGTAGGAGGGTTCATAAAATTAAACATCATAGAATAAATAATAAAGAATGGTAAAATATTAAAAGGCGAGTAATTACCTTTGGCTTGTCTACGCCGTTTGCAATCAAAGTCCAGTCTGCGCCCCTGCAGTTTCTTTCGGTGGTGCTGCAAAATCACGAAAATGAAGGTATTTAAAATAAGAGCGAATCGAAACCATATATATATATATATATATATATATATATATATATATATATATATATATATATATATATAATTAATATGTATGTATAATATCATGGGATATGTATAATGTTCGACATTTATTTAAAAAATATGTACCCAATACAGACTTTTTAGTGTAGGATAAGTTAGTATGGTTTAATAATGGAATACGTACAATATTGCATTAAAATATATAGTTTTTTTTTTAATACCAATAATGGTTGCTAATAGTAATTTAAAATCAAAAATTTTGTACAGCCGACTTCAATATAAGTTATTAAGAATAACTCAAAAACTATTGGTCTGACCTTGATCAAATTCATATGGGACCACACGAGAAGTATCAGATTTCATATAAAAAAGGAATCACCGAAATCGGTTCACCCAGTAAAAAGTTCTGAGGTAACACACATAAAAAAAACATACGCGTCGAATTGAGTACCGTCTCCTTTTTGGAATTCGGCAGATTAAATCATATTAAACAAAATATGAAAATTCAATTAAGTTTTTTTTATCTAGCTAAATTTGACTAACTAGCACTCGGTCCATTTGATGGTAAAGAAGATGTTGTGGCCCATATAGTCCTATATTTAACTTCGGTTAAGAATCAAAATGTTGATGCGTTTTAACACTGACGATCAAGACGACATGCTTCATTACCAGTAAAAATGGTTTCCGGTTCCCGTCACTCGCTATACAAAACACCGCAGCATTTTACGATTGTATTCTATGCGAGCATGGTATTTACCCGGTAGTGCCGACAAACACATGTTACAGCCGTAGTAGTACGAGTGAGGTACGTGAGGGTAATATGGTCACCTTAAGCTTTGTCACCCGTGTTATAACACCAAAACTAGGAGGCGGACGGCGACAAAAACAAGTAAACAAAAAGTCGTATATTATAACTAATATATTAAGAAAAAAATAGCAAACAAACTTTGGCAATAATTAGAAACACGTCGAAAAATCAACTTAAATAAAACTTACTACCCCACACAATACTAAAATCGACTAAATTATTTAAAATTTTCTCAACTCTCAAAATGGCGTCGAAAAAGCTGCGCCCTTTAGAACCTTTATTATTTGACTGACTGATGAACAGCTTTCGTATCACAGAACCATCTATGCAAACAAGGCTGTGGTTTTGAGTTTTATGAAAGTGACCATATTAACCGGATGACCATATTACCCTCACGTATTATAGTAGTAGTTTGGTTTTACCACAATGTTGTAACCATAATATTATTTTATAACTTTATATAAAAACATTGCAAAACTTAACAAATGCAATAAAATTTCATGTAATTTTGCAGACATACCATAACTTCTTTAAGATCTTTGGTCTGTAAATGGTGCAGGGGTTCCAGGAAGCTTTGCTTGATATTATCGTCTAGAGAATATTTTACATCTGCCATTTGCTTTAACGCCTCACCCATCTCAATCAGGCATTGTGCTGCAATAAAATTAAGAAAAATAACAGCAAACTCTTTAACAATAAAAAATAAAAATGTGTTAAAGACAATTTTATTGCTTTGGTTTTTTAGCCATTTACAACTATCTTAAGGACTTAGTAATAAAAACTTCTTACAGAAGATGCTATCTTCTCCAAGTTTCTTTCCATAGAGAAGCATACAATCGGCCAGCACGCCTTCGGGTTGTGGATAGGTATTGCTTTTAGCTTGTCCGCTAAGTTTACTAATTCCTTTAACAGCTGCCATCTTCGCTCTGGCCGTGGGATTTGGCTGGAGAAATTCTTTCGTTTTCGCCTGTAGCTCCTCTACCAGCTCGCATGTTACGTCCGTTTTCTGGTAAAATACAAACAACTTTAGTGCAGTATATTATATTATACAGTAAAACCTTACCCATTGTCTCAGATATCCAGGTATAAATAAATATCTGTCTCATCTACAGAGGGGTTCCAGTAATAGAAATTATTTCAATTCTAGAGGTGCGATTATTAAATTAAATAACGTTTTCAAGGCAAGAGTGAATAGGTTTTTGTTACGCTAAGACAGTGCGATTTACGATTCACCATCTAGGGCTGCATCAGCACTTACCTACCACTATGTGGGATTGTGGTCAAGCACTAGCTTATAATAAGTTAAAAAAAAACATTATACATGAGTTGTAATCTTTATTCACAATCTAAAAAGCATAAACGGATATTAACTTGAGTTTTTCACATACTGATAAAGACTTATAAGCCTCGCTTCGGCATTTTAATCCGGACGATCGCAAAACCAAACTAAAACTGGAGGTCACTTTTACACTATTAGCCAAGTGCGGAATTTGCGGATAGAATAAGAATTAGTAAACAAAACTGTCCACCAAATATAGTCTCAGTAAAAGAGGTAAAATACACTCACTGTCATAATTATAGAGGTAATTATGACGATGAAATCGAAAGTAGTAATCCGAGATATAGAGGTTTGTTTTGTCCCACTAACAGAGGTAATTCAGTGCTAAAGTGTCGGGCGGGACTTAAGCATGAGTTTCAGCTATGGAGGTTTCTCACTTATCCAGGTCTCACTTAACCAAGTTTTATTGTATTTTACTTATTTGACTCCTTCGTTAGCCTAGTGGTCGTAAACGTGACTGCTGATCATGTCGGTCCAGGGTTCGAATCCTGGGTCAGGCCAAAATCAGTAGTTGCATTTTCTGTCAAGAAAGTTTCTCTCTCAGCCCGAAATCAAGAAGTTGGCGGTGTTTCACCCCCGGGCCTAGGAAAGTACGTAAAGCCGTTGGTCCTGCGTGTGATCTGCCTCTGGTCGTGTCAGAGGCCGTAAAAGAGGTGTCTGAGTCTGAGACGGACCAGGAAGTGTTTCAGAAGTATGAAACTTTAGAGGTGCTAGCGGGGAGCTATTTGAAAACATTTTATTTTCAAAAACTTTAACCATAACAACTTTTTTGGTTTCGCAAAACTTTCCTACGACCCACGTATTGTGATTGCGTATTTATAGAAGTGTGATGGCAGCAGCACTTGATGCCATTTTTCTTTTTTATTCTGTGGGTACCCGAGAGACGCAGAAACAATTTAAATCAACATTTTTTTCATCAATTCTTTTTTCTACAGTAGTTAGCAAATACCCTGAACATCATCTATACATATCTATACATATCTATACATTCCCAATATCTTGCTCAAATGAGACCTTTGTCCTCCTCAATACCACTCCATCCGAAGTCGACTCCCTCATCTCATCGCTCAAGGAAAACTGTGCGGTCGGGTGGGATAATATTCCCTCATCTATCCTTAAATACGGAAAGGATTTACTTGTTCCTGCTATATGTCATATATGCAACCTGAGTTTTTCATCAGGTTGCTTCCCTGATGCCCTCAAGAAAGCCCTAGTTCACCCCATTCACAAGAATGGGGATCGAAGCCAGCCCAACAATTACCGCCCCATTTCTGTCTTACCCGCCTTGTCTAAGATACTGGAGAGACTGATCAATAACCAGTTAATCGATTTCCTAGAGAAAATGAACTTATTGTCCCCTGGACAATTTGGTTTTAGATCTGGCAGATCCACAGCAGATGCGGTTCACTCTCTTACTGATCATGTGATCAGAAACTTAGACAAGGGTAATAAATGCCTATCGGTCTTCCTCGACTTGGCCAAGGCGTTTGACACGGTTTCCATTCCCATTCTCCTGACTAAGCTGGAGGCAATGGGTGTCAGAGGTACCCAACTATCTCTCTTCCGAAGCTATTTTTCAAACCGTAACCAGGCTGTCATTATCAATGGAAAAGTGAGTTCTGAACTATCCATGAATTACGGTGTCCCCCAGGGAAGCATTCTTGGCCCTACGCTTTTCTTGGTCTACATCAATGACCTCTGCTCTCTCAAAATCCCTGGCTGTAAGATTATCTCCTTTGCAGACGATACCGCGCTAACTTTCTCAGCCTGCTCCTGGAAAGATACCTTCCAACTTGCCCAATCCGGTTTAGACTTAGTCTCCCTCTGGCTCCTTACAAATCTACTCACTCTCAATTCCAAAAAAACTCAGTATATCACCTTTTCCCTTCACAGCATTCCACTCAATGCATTTGACAATTTTCGCTTAATTGCTCATTCCCATTCTGACCTCCCCTCCTTCTCATGTAACTGTCTACCTCTTACCTCTTCGGATTCCACAAAATATTTAGGTATTATTATAGACAGTAAACTGACCTTCCAGCCCCACATCAACCTCACCGCTTGTAGACTCCGAAAACTCATGTTTGTTTTTAAAAATCTTCGCCAAGTCGCAGATCCGTGTCTGGTCAGATCAGTCTACTTAGCACTTTGTCAGTCACTTATAGTTTACTGTTTAACAACCTGGGGTGGCGCGAGTAAGTCAATACTAATCAAGTTGGAAAGAGCCCAAAGAGCGGTCCTCAAAGTCTGTACGTTTAAGCCCCTGTTATCACCAACCTTCGATCTTTACCAATATTGTGAGGTTCTTTCCGTGCGCCAACTCTTTATTTTATTAATTGTCCTCAAACAACATAGTAGTTGCAGCTATGATCCCTCTTTACTGTCTTCCCAGAGAAATCACCTGGTAGTACGTTCAACCTCGTTCAAAACCGTGACCTCACAACGATTTTTCTGTTTCTTGGGCCCCTTCCTTTACAATAGACTACAACGTGAGCTCAACATCTTTCCTCTTACAAAACTGTTATGCAAATCTAAAGTCTCTAATTATTTGCAGACTATGAACTATGAGGAGACCGAATCTCTCCTTCATCCTATCAGGTAGGAAATATACTATAAATAAAATATACTATAATATATTCATACCCAACACACACACACACACACCCAACCACACACCCACCCACACACATACGCCATTCACGCGCACACGCACCCTCTTACACACACACACACACACACACACACACACACACACACACACACACACACACACACACACACAAAACATTTCCTTCTTTTCTTTTTTTTCTTTTTTTTTTGTTACTAGTTTCATCATATTCTGCACCAATATGACCTACATCCTGTGAGGAGAGACCTGGTGCTCTGAAACACAGGCTTTCAGCCTATCTCAGACGCCAGTCTTTCACAATCTAAATAATTTTGTTCCTTGGTGTTAACCCTAGTTCATAACTATATTAGTTTTTAGATTGTGGAGAAAATAAAGAATTTTTATTATTATTATTATTATTATATAATAAATGTAAATAGCAGATGTCTGTACATTTTATATTTTTGTAATAAAAGTGATTGAGAGGTACTAAAAATAAGTAATTAAATACATTTCTACCATTTTTAGATTTTTCTGTCTGTCTGTCTGTCTGTCTGTCTGTTTGTTTGTTAACGTATCACGTATAAAGTACTAATTTATATCATAAGAATAGTTAAGGAAATTATTAAGTGTATATTCAGGTTACATTTAGTCTTTATTTCATTAAAATTGGTTAATTTCATCAAAAGTTATGACAAATATTCTGAAGTATGGGTACTAAGTATAGGTACGAATTTGTTCAATAGTGGCGTTGGATGAGTCATCAAGTACATTTTAAAATTAATATCATATTATAAATCATAATTAAATGATGTAATAATGTTCTATAATGATATAATTATATCTAAAACGCAGTAAACAAAAGTATTACATAAAGAACGTAATAAATATATACAAAATATATTAACCTTATTATCTAAACTAAATTAAAGTACAATAGTTAACCAATTTCATCGATAGATGGTGGTGTGGCATAAATGTGATACAAAAAGGCAGGTTAAAATTTATTTCTGTAGTTGAGTTTCATATTTGCTTCTAACCTTTATATTAATGACACGCTGCCCTACTGCGTGTTGACAATCTCATTTATTTTTTATTTTTTTACCGCCGAGTACCCTATGTGGTAAATCAAATTTTAAGAGCTATTAACAATTTCGTTTTTCGGCGAAGATCAAACTTTCTTTTTTGCTTACTATGCAGGCACTGATTTATAAGTTCTTTTATGTTTTTTATTGTATCAATCGTGTGAATTAATCTCTTATTTTTAGAATTGATGTTAACAGCGCCATCTCTCTTAAATCTATACATATAATAAAAATGGTAATAACATGTTATCTCTGTTTCTGAATATTGTATAGTATATTAATTTCAGACTAAAATCATTATGGGGACTGTAAATCATTAAATAAGTACATTTTTATAATTTTTAGAATTGTACTATCTGACGGTCTGTCTGTTTGTTTATGCACGCATGACATTTTGAGTAAACATCTTTTTTTCAATGAAATCCTTAAGAAAATCATAAAGCGTATTATCAAGTTCATTTAATCTTTGTTTTATTGAAATTGGTTAATTCTATCGAAAGTAATGATTATTATTTTGAAATGTAGGTTCGAATTTGTTTAATGGCTCCACAAAATCCCAGAAATAGTAATAAAAAGATTCGTGTGTAAAAAAAAACGTTCTATTATAATATATTTCGTATCGTTCTATTATAGTACTTAAAACACAGTAAAAATATGTTTTCCTTAAATTAAAAAAGGATGTTTTCTCACAAAGAACGTAATAGATGGCGTTGTACAAATTACAACCTTTTCTGAATTGCGGTGTTAAGATTTTTCGCAGGTGAATCGTATTGAGACTCACTGTAATAATTCATGTCCTTGAGTCTGACGAAGTTGCAAGCCTGTAAGGTATACCCGACTAAAAGTAGCAAAATTGCAATAAATGTTGTGATAGTGAATAGTGATATTGTTTTATACCCAGAATCCCTCTAATACCAAATAACTTTTTTTCAGTTTTAAGTAAAGTAAAGATGCAGCCTATTTACGTCCCACTGCTGGGCACAGGCCTCCTCTCATTTCTGAGAGGGTTTTAGGGCAAGGAAATGTCCACCGCGCTGCCCCAATACGTGTTGGCGAACTTCACATGTCATCGAAATATTTTTTTTTATTTCTCAAACATGCAGGTTTCCTCACGATGTTTTCCTTCACCGCCGAGCACGTGGTAAATCAGCACTTAAAATTGCAATTAACAATTTCATTGGTGCCGGCGGGGATCGAACCCGGGTTACTGTGAAGCTTACAGCGAGCGCTAACCATCTGAGCTACCACGGCTCAGGCTTCATTTTTAAGATAGGGATAATAACATCGATGTTGGCATCGCTAGCTCAACATCGATGTTCGATGTTTTGGCTACTCAAAACATCGATGTTGACCATTATCGATGGTTTTTGTATACGTGTAGATACTTACACATTGTTTTAAAATTATGTGGGTATACACAGCAAGGGAAAAGTAACAATTAACTTGAATATCAATTTATGTAGAATAGTTATTATGCGACAACCGACAACGACACTACAAAATAAAGCGAAAGCAGTGACCATTGTGACATTACAGGAGACACTTGACAATTAAGTTTGACTCACCATACTGACATTTTTTTAGATTAACGATGCGTTCAGAAATTCTGAATTATTCAAAATTTTTAATCTTCAGAGCAGATGCAAGATTTAGTTGATATTGATTTCGCGACTTCACATTGTTTGCAAGTTCCCAATTATCGATTATGGGTTCATTGACGTCGATGTTTCGATGTTTGACATATGTCAACATCGATGTTAAAACATCAAAGTTTTAATTTTTAACATTGATGATCATCTAACATCCCTATTTTAAGTGTGTTTCCCACTCAGCGTGTGTTATGCGACGATCGTAAATAAAGCGCAAGGTCAAACTTTACGCGTCAGTACTGATTGTTTTGCACATGGCCAGCTCTATATTGCTTTTTCTCGCGTTAGTAGTCCCCGTAACCTTTTTCTGTACGCCCCGGCTAAGTCTACTTCTATCGTCGTTTACACAGAAGCTCTATCATAAACGACTTAGAACTTTGAGAATATCGATTTATTTTGTTACCACTTATTCATAGAGTAATGATATAAATCGGTTAATATTCTCTTACCCTAAACGTCAAATTCTTTAAGTAAAATCTATATTCGCGAGCTACGCCGCGGGCACAGCTAGTAGTTTAATAAAATATCTTAGTAAGCGAAGGTAGAGAAATTCTGGTGAAGATTTATATCATTTACTCATAATCTCTACCGTTAGTCTCGCTAAAACTCAGAAACGGCTGGACCGATTTCTATGAAATTTTTAGTGTGTGTTAAATTTGGTCCCGGTAGGTGGTGTTGTCGTGATACAGTAATCACGCGTGCCAAGCCGGGATGGATCGCTAGTATATTATATTAAAGTCGTAAGTATTGATGCTCTTCTTACCTTGTGCGAACATCACGACAAATTTCTATTACAGAGGCACAAGTCTACACACAATGATCGCCCGTCCTAGCCGACCCGTGCCCAGCGGAGATTTTAAGACAAGATCAGTATAGGTACTTGGATACATTTTTAAGCAAGACATGAGAGAAAAAGACATCCAGATCTAAAAACCAGCAATATTTTTGTACAAATGTAGTAATCGGACGGAAATTGAACCTAAGCTCCGGCTCACTTACTATAATCGCAAAGAACTCTACGAAATTTAAAATTTATATCGAACATTGAAATTTTCATTTAATTTCTAAGGTGTTTAATTTAGATTGATAATAGTGACACAAGTTTCATCAGACTAAGTACGTAATGATGCAATGAAAATAAGTCAACAAATGTCGTAAAACTTTAATCCATTATGAACGTTAACTGAAAGCATTTTATTCGTTTTCATTTGGGTTCAAATGACTTAACCATCTCCATAACTTAAAAACGTCGTATTGTTAATTGAAATCCATTTCATTATTATAATCATCATCATTACAGATTACCAACGTACACTGTTGAACATAGGTGTACCCCATAGATTGTCTCATAAGGGCATACATACATGGATCCATTTGTTTTTTATCAATTGATCAATCTATTTTCATTATCCTGTATCGTCGTTATGTATTTAGATATTAATAGTCCTTTTACCTTCAGGATATATAACATAGTAATAATAAGCCTTTTGAAGTTATATATATATATATATATATATTTAGAAAGCTTTTCAGTCTTCCTTTAAATATTTTATTAAAAATTGTTATTGGCCTTGTGTTACTAAAGCTTTTAGCTTTGAAGTGATTATAATTTTGGAAGTTAAGAAAATCATTCGTAATTAACAATAATGTATTAAATATTGTGATGTTAAATAACGAACAAAGCAAAGGAATGCTTGGTTTTGATATTATAGAAATACATTACGATTATCATTCATAGTGTAACTGGCCAGTGTAAGATTTTTCTTAGATGTAATTTTTAATCGAACAAAGAAAAATATTACTTCACACTGGCAATATACTACGTACGAGTTCAGAAAAAAATTGAGTCTAAAAACCTGCTATTAATTTACATCAATTCAATGGTCATTTTATAAAACCCCGAGCGACTTTGTATTATTTTTAATACTTAGATATTTTTTTTTTATTCAATAATATACATAACACTTGTACACCTAATTCCAGGGGTTATTGTCATTCATGTATTTACCTATATATCACTGCTATATATATATATATATGACGTAAGCACGGGATTTTTTTACCCATTCGTATACCCAAAGTAGTAGTGTATACCATATACCATGTTAAAAATTAGGCAAAAATCGAGTTTATGTCATAGCTGAGTCTTAAAATGGACTTAACTCGATTCCACGATCGACTTATTTTGACTAAGATAAGAAGTTCCTTAGTGTCGTGGAACACTCGGTTGGAACGGAGTTCCTTATTGTTGATAAACGTATTATATCATTGATTAACAAATACAAATAAATGTATTACTAGCGTCTATTAAAATGAAGCGTCATTTAAAATAAAATACACTATGACACAAGGGGTAGTGACAAAAAAACTTACACTTTTTGTCGCCTAGCTCCCATCCGCCAAACCCGTACCGTCCGATAAGGAACTTCGTTCCAATATTATTGCTTTCGTGACAAGATAAAAAAAAGTGCGATGGAAATTGATATTAGTCCATCTCGCTTCCTTATAACCGCCAAGGCCTACTACGTGAGAAGGGGTGGTGACGGAAAAATCCTACTATTTCGTCGCCTAGCCCCCATCCGCCAAATTCCTACCATCCGAACTTCGCTCCAAAAATTGTATTTTACTTTAGGGTCTTATTAATTTTGAAATATTGCCAATTGAGTTCGAAGTTTAAAAGGAATATCATCATCATCCGTAACTTATTTCAGTCGGAGTCGAGATCCATAGAAAATTTCATCAAATGAGGTCAAGTCATTAGGCCTCTTAAACGTAATGAATCAACCGATAGACGGCTATTAAAACACCGCAGCTTTCAAATGAACTTTATTACTTATCCAACAATATATTTCACGTGAGACGTGCACGTGACTTTTTTTAACTTATAATAAAATTATATAGGCGGACATATAATAACGACGTATTGAGGTCATTTAGATAATAATATCTGTTATACTCACTCTTTCCATTTCCACGAAGTCCAAATCCAATTTTGTGCCTTCAGCCCCTCCCATTTTCTCCGTGACATACTGAAACAACATAAATAATTATTTAATTATTAATAATTTATTTCATTTCAGTATACTATCTTACTTTTTTTCAAATTTCAATAATGTGGTCTTTCTTATAATAGGTTACAACGCCTGGTAAATGTCAGCCATGATGCACAAAAAAAAGTTGTCATGTATGCAATATATTCTTTTAGTATAAACCTAGTGATTATGACTTGTAACCTGGCTATCGCATATGTGCGACGGATATTGGGTTTGAATTCCAGTCGAACGTTGCTTACACTTATGAAAACACAAATAGTTTGTTTTCAGAGAGTGTTGTGATTGTCCACGTGTCCTGAGAATGCATCCTAGCTTACCGCCAATCTTATCGAATGACCGTTACATAGGGCATGCATAGGTGAGGGTGAGTGAGGGTGTGCAGTTGATAGCACCATGCTGCAGCTATATTAATAGTATAGTTGTAGCACGAATGGGTCGGCTCGACCGGGGAAGGACCACGCTCTTACAGAATGCCAGCGTAAAATAGCAGCCTAATGCTGCTGTGTTTCGCATGGTGAGTGTAGAGAATCATAGAGCCATGTTACTGGAAAAGAGGCATTCTATTTTAGTCCTCACAGCTGACAACGCAACTGAATTTTAATTCGCAAACGAAGATAGATGTAGATATCTATGGGCCACAGCAACTACTTACCATCAGGTGGACTGTGTGCTCGTTTGTCACCCTTATTCTATAAAAAAAATGTATCTTCTGTAGGTACGGAACTTGTCGTCGTGGTCGAAAATTCCACATAAAGAAAACTTTCAACTTTTAAATAAAAAAAAAACTTTATTGTCCAACTTCGGACATTTTATTAATAAAAATATTTAAACATATTAAATATAAAATTTAAGAAATGAAAAATTCAGGGGCTTACTGGATAGCTAAATGAACAATAATCCGCCGTAAAAAAATTTTACTGCTTGAACATGAACATTGCAAGTGTGATAATTGTTAATTATATATGTCATTATAATTATATAGATCATTAATAATATTAAAAAAAATTAGGATAAATTTTTTTTAAATAATTTTTATTGATAGTTTCCGAAGTGGGCGTGCTTGCGCAAGCCAGAGCACCCGTCTTCGGCCGTATTTTCATCCATCTGGAAAAGTTATAAATATTGGTCCTACAGTTCCTGGAGTCGAGACTTTTTTTAGTTTTTAAGATATTCGTAAAAAAACTAAACCCCCTTTTCAAGCCGGAACTTTATATTTTTCAAAAATCATACACTCGTATATGCTATTCCGAATCGAATGCCACCTGGTTCATATTTTTTCGAGATTGCTGAAAAAAGAAAACCAAAAATTCACTCGTTGACTAGACTATTTAGTGGGGTTTGAATTTAAGATTTAAAGCTCAAACGAAGTCATCAATGGCAATAGGGTGACGCACTCCTAGCCAGATTTCTATTGAGAGAAGGAAATTTACCAACAACTAACTGGCTCTACAGAACAATACATTAGTAATTACACATGAGTAATACAAGATCATGCCAAATGTGAGTCCGTAATCTCTGTCAACCAATTAGGGTGACACTCGTAAAAGTTTATGTATGTGTAATATAAACATATTACACGGACTTCATAGAATGTACCAGCAACATTATTTGAAAGATTTGTCCATACTCTCACCACATTATGCAGGCAGGTTAGAGGCCGCAAGCCAATATTCTCGCACTGAAATTATGCTGTGTAATAAATCCAACACCACATTTCGTTTTGCTAGAAGTCAAATAACTAGACCGGCGTTAGAGAGCAGTTTCAAAGGTGCGATACTTCTGATGCTGCTACAGCCAACCGGGGAGAATTTGCCTTTATCTCCACGCTTGGCAAGCAAATTTACAACGCGAGAGACCGAGATCAAGCAATGCAAGATAGCTGTTAAAAAAGAAGGAGACCATATAGAGTACGCAATTGGGTACACAAAATTATATGTTTTATGATTTTAAACCTTATAGGTAATCATCCTTAATCATGGGGTTATCTTAATGTCATGTTTCTCTGCAAGAAAACCCTGAGGGACTATGAGAAATGTAGAATCACGAAGTACGAGAAAAATCATATCTAAAGGAGTAGTTATACATTTTTCAGACGTACTTTATGTAATAAAATGTTTAGCTTATACCGTACAAAGCAAACGAGTTTAGTCACTTAAAATTGGAGTGAACGGAACGAGCATCAATCATCCCAAGTAATCAATACAACGTACATCCGTCCATTGTTGACTGGTTATAAAATGAATTAGCGTACGAACGAATTATTATGAATAAGAGATGTATTGATATTGATAGCTACAAAAAAGCTATTTCCATTTTTAGATGTAGTATCAAGAAAGTAATGTGTTGTGGTCGGCACGTACCTAGTTATATTTACTCGTACCATGATCAATGTCGCACATGCCCCGGAACCTTTGAATTGTTAATCTATGTTATTAGTTTTACCAAAAAAATGATTTCGAGCCAAATCAATGGAACGTTACTTTTGTAAAAGTAAAAATAAGACCTATTCTAAAATCGCAACGTCCGATAAACTGTTTTCCGCTTAACGGTAAAACAATTTGTTTTTAACAACAGCGGCCGTTTACATAAAAAACTGCACGCCGCATTTTTATACATTTGAAGCTGTGATTTCATACAAAGCAACTGAAGAATGGGATCGCTCGATTTAGTACAAAAGCTTGGGTCGAGGTCTAGCCTTGGCCGAACTCAACGCCCCCATTTAAGTGTTGCTTTTATAGAGGGATTAAAAAGACCGTACGCCGGTGCATACCATACCATTGTCTTGTTATATTAAGTTAACAAGTTGTTTGTGTCCAATGAAATAATATGAGACTCAGCAAATATGATATTTTAAATCGAGCAATCAGTATATTTATTTATGTTATACAAAAAGAAATTATCAATTTCATGGAACGCGCTTCAAATTAGATTTATTCTTAGATCATAATATTTATACAATAAAAATTACTGTTCTATCACGATTAAGTTTACATTCAATCTAACTTTTATTTATAGAAGTGAAGGTGATACAAGTAGGCAGTCAACCTGTTGGTAAGCGGGTGCTGTGGTACTTACACCTACACCTATCCTTGATCAAAAATCAAAATGCAGATGCGTTGTTATACTAGCAAAGAAGCATCTCCGGCTTTCGTCACTTACTTACCATGAGAAACATAAGCATTGTACTGATAATTTATGAGAGCGTGCTCCTTCTCCGGTCGAGCCCTCAAATCTTAGGTATTGCAGATACAATACACTGCAGCTGCCAGAATACGATTTAGAATATATCGTCGTTGCGACTTTAAGACCTCTTATGTGTAAAAATCAATTTTATGAGATAATCGATAAAAACCGTCTACCGAAAAAAATATAATGAAACCAACTACAACAAAAAATATAGGTAAGACTCACATAATTTTCTGCTTTTTACTTTGCTATTGTTAGTTCAAATTTAAATTAGTATCATAGTAAAAATAAAAATTAAAAATTTTAGTGAACACATAAGAGATTTTGATTGCGTTTTATGTATCACATCAGGGCTTTTGAACAAAAATGCCTATAATAATGAAAATAAAAAACTATAAATTTTACTGAAATATTTTATATTATTATATGTATAGATTTCTCAGGAAACACTAATTAAGATAAGATAACAGTTGAACTACATGTTAGAATAAAATAAAAATTACAGATCAAATTACCACTATTTTCTGAGATATACTTATATAATTATCCATTAAGTACCCGGATTAAATTGTAATACATCGTTAAATGGGTGGTTATCTATTACCATTTTCAGTTCCTGTTAATGCTTAAACTTGCTCTCACTAATTTTTAATGGAGATCTGTACAATCGCTTTGGAGATACCAGACGTTTTTTTTGATTATTTTTTCGCTGCGGAAGTACAGACCATTCATTGACATGTCTTAACCTATAAAATATTGAGCCATTGGATAAATATTTAGACCTCTAATGTCCACCACGACAGGATCTCCCTTCTTTTTGCCAGGCCGTATGGATTTTAGGTTCGATTCCATCTCTTCAAAATTTAGAAAAAAATCAAAGTGAATGGATTTGACATCATAGGGCTTTTGTGGTCGAGCTTGTCTTATCCGGGTGATGTAATCACTAGGAGCGAAAATTGGTGCTTTTATGTATTGCTCAATAGTGGAGTGAACACTATCCACTTCCATCATAGTATGCCCCTTTTCCAGGTAAAGTTGTTCGATATAAATGTTCCTTCTTTGTGCCAAATCACTTAGGGCACTTGACATAATTCGGTTCCGATTTTTGTGTCCGCATCCATCAGAAATAATAATAACGCGCTCTGTTGAAATTGGCAGGTTCTGACAGTAATGTATGAAACAAGATGTGAATTCATTAGCAGTAACATTACCATCTGCTTCGTGCCAAAAGTAATTTGTCATGTTTTTGGATAGCATATCATAAACCGTAAAGTTATGACATTGTAATTTTAATTTGTAGTACAATGCACTAGCCAATAGCTTTGGGGCAAGAAAAACACTTTGATCGTCGTCTGTTATAACCACAAACTTTTCGTTTGCACTAGCTACGGCATTCTTTTTGGCTTCACAGGCTTCAATTTTCTTCTCAATATGGCTATTATATTCTTCTTTGGAAATGTTACCAGTTTTATAACTACAGCAAGTATCGCACTGGTCTTTGCGAGGATGGTGAATGGCGATATTTTCTTTAGTTATTACAGCTCTGTAATGGGTTTCAATACACCACTCCTTAAAAACCTGATACATGTGGAGTTCAGATCTAAAAGTCGATTCAACATAATTTTTTTGAGCTAGAATGACAGTAATGGCTTTTGGTAAAATATCCAGCCATGTTTTAACAGTTCTTGTCAATTCAACGTTCTTTCCTGGCCTAGCAATAATATTTGAACTTAATGCAGTGTTTTCTGCAGATTGTTCCTCAATATTTTCTTCGAAAGTATCAACCTCTA